TAATATTTGTCGGTCAAAACACAAGATACTGTGAAGCCATACCATTATGGTCCAAAAATATTTTAGATGTGAAAACTGCTTTGACAATATTCGTTGACAAATACCATCCAACAAAACTGACATCTGACTGTGAAAGTTCTTTCAAATCAGATGATGTAAAAAACTATCTGCGTTCAAAAAATGTAAACCAATATTTCATTGTCGACCAAAACCATTCTGCTCTTGGTGTCATTGACAGTTGTATAAAAATCTTAAGAGACTTAAACCAACCACAAGGTGGTGAAGCAAATGAAATGTCATATGACGACAAGTATAGACACTTCTCCATGGCAAAGATGAGACAAGTTTTAAATATTTACAATAGCCGTAAACAAAAAGGTTTGGGAAACCACTCCCCGAAGAAATGAAAAACAACCCTGACTTAGAGAAAGACTATATATTTAACAATTTAGTCAAAAGAGACAAACAAGAAAGAATGCCAGGCTTCAAACTTCAGAAAGGTGACAAAGTAAAAATAGAAATACCTAAACGCGACCCATATGAAAATACTATTGACTATGACAACAATGGGAACCCGACAGGTACTCACATTCGTGTTCGTAAAAATAGAAGAAAGTATACAAGAGAATATTATGAAGTTTTAGGCAAACATGGCAAAATGTACAGACTGCAAGCAGAAGATAAAACTACTATTGTCAGACCTCGTTTCAAACTTGTCAAAGTTCAAGGTGGTATACTTTCAAAGACAGTTCCTAACAAATATAAGACAACTCCTGACGAATATGCTAAAGAAGTTGAAAATGACGACTAAGCATTTCTATACCATGCGTAAACTGTCATGTAAGGTGGCATGTAGTCTTTACTTTGTCCCGTTGTTTGCGTATACCCTGAAACGCGATGTGTATGGCTTCCTCCTACCTCAGTGTTACTCCAGTAACAATTTATAGCAAACTTAACGTCCTCTTTAACATCATATCCTTTACCTTTTGTCATTCCTGACCAATCCCAAAATCTATGACTATGCAAACCTGCTTCAGATGTACTTAAATTTATGTAGTGACTGTGCGCAGGTAAATTTGCACCTGAAATCGTTTTACTCCCACCTGTTTCCTTTGAAGAGTTTGCACAATACAAAAACCTGTCGACTATTTGAGTCCAAGTTCCAAAACCAAGTACTACTTCTGGTCTGGTAGAGTTCATTGACGTGTAAATAGAACCTATAGGATATAGTGTTTGAAGTATTTCTGTCTTTAACGTTTGAAGCTCTGTTTTGTCAGCTTTCTTATCATATAAATCTTGAGCAGTGAATTTAACTTTTTTTTCATCCTCCATGACATAGACATTTCTACATCTAATGTATCTCATCGTTGTTATGTCTTCTTCCGATGTTAAACCTTGTGGAAAGTTAGGAGGTTTCCAATCTAATACATCCCCACCAGCTCCTTCAACCGTTCCTTCAATATTTTCTATACCAACAGTTGCGAAGAAATCGTGTGTATGGTTCTTATCTGCCTTCTTTTCAAGGCTAACGTTTAAGTCTGTTATTTCAGAAGATGTATGTGTATGTCCAACGTCACTTTTCCTGTTTAAGGTTTCTTGTAAGTTTGTAATATTTGCAATGGTATGTGTATGTCCAACGTCACTTTTCCTGTTTAAGGTTTCTTGTAAGTTTGTAATATTTGCAATGGTATGTGTATGTCCAACGTCACTTTTCCTGTTTAAGGTTTCTTGTAAGTTTGTAATATTTGCAATGGTATGTGTATGAGTCTTTTTAGAATATTCGTTTTCAGCTCTTGTCACTTCACTTGACATTTTATTGTCAACATATGTTTTGTCTGCTAGTTCAGGATGAGTATGTTCTTTTGTTGCATAAGCATTGTTAGCTCTTTCTTCTTCTTTTGCTATTGCATCGTCTACATATTCTTTGTCAGCTTTGTTGTCAACATCTGCTTTCAAAAGAAGTTCATTTATAGGTTTCTCGTTTAAAGTTCCTTTTGTTGGATTTATACAGACAGTATGGTTCTTATTGTCTTGAAACAGAAACTCATCTGTCATTGGGTTTAATGTCAGTTTTAAGTTTCCTTCTTTCAATGACTCAGATATCTTAGAATAGTTTGAAAAGTTTGTTGTGTTCTTATTTAGAGCTTGCAAAATGAGTTGTCGGTTGTGTTGTATTTCTCTCATAGACGCTGTTTCATTTGACATTTTTATTCTAGATAAAATATGCTTCCAATAGAAAAAGAAAATTCAAGAGTTGCTACAACTAAACCATTAGATGAACTTTTTACTAATGTCGGTCAAAAGTTTGAGACAGAGACCGTAAAGCATGAAGGCTATCGTTTTGACTACCCATTAAGATGGCTAAGAGACCCATCTGTCACAAAAGCTATTGGCTTTCGTAGAATGAAGTTTGTGTCTGTAGAAGATAAAAGTTTTCCATTTATTGTAAGGTTTCATATAGATTATATATCTGAAGGGAAACGAAAAATGTGGGAAGAAATTGAGCTAATACAAGTTGACCTTTCATCTTCTCTACAGACTGCGTTAAAAAATATAGAAGATAAAATAAATTCATGTTATGCAAAATATGCTGATGAATATGCAAATACCGAGAGCACACTTTATGTGAGAATTGTATATGACAAACAAAATTCACAAGTGTCATTTCAAATCTACGAAGACAATCCAAAGAAAGACGAACAAATATATACAGAATTCACTGCAATGTCATGGTATTATTTGCAAAGAATGTTAAATCAGAAAGTCAAACTTCCTTTAGCAAATATTTACAGTCGATATGCAAGAGATGAACCATATTTATTTAAAGATGTTTTCGACCCAGCTGCTATTATTGTTCATGCTTCATTTTCTGGCGCCCAAAACTCTTTCTTATGCTTGGCAAATGACTTTTACGAAAAACCTACAAAGTTATACGAACCACCAAGTGGAAGTATTTCAGACTTTCAAGTATGGTTTACTACAGATGGAAGAAAAAGAATAATTCCATTATACCATGCGTTTTACTTAGAACTTAGTTTCATATACAACTACTATCGAACGGTAAAAATATAATTTTTTAATACGGCTGAGGTGTTGGATTTGGTTGCCAACTAGACTGTGGTGCAGGTTCAGGCTGTTGTATAACAGGAGCTTGTTCTTCTGGTTCAGGGTCTTTAGGTATAATACCAACAAACTGACCTACCCTTTTACCAATATTTTTGACTCCGTTCCAAATTCCTCTTCCGACAGATTTTATTCCATTCCATATACCTCTTCCAACATTTCGAAAGAAGTTTCCAATACTACTGAAGAAACCCATTTTACTATATGTAAAAATCTAATGTCCGCCTAGTCTTTTGCGTTTCCTGTTGAGTTCCATAGCATTCTTTAACTGGAGCTCATACATTCTGTTTCTCCTCTGGTAGAAAACATATTCTGGGTCAACTCCTGTGTTCGCGTCATCTGCATAAAGTTGTTTATATCCCACTTCAGGGTTTGTATAAAACTCTTTCCATCTCATATTTGCATACCATGGTGGCAAACCTAACGCAGCGTCATTTGACATGGCAGTTTGCATTTGTACATCTGTTGGCACTTGACCATAGTTTGCCATTGCAGTTTGTATTCTAACTTCATTTGGAATATTCTCTGGGTTTGGTTGTCCAGGTTGCTGTGCATTCGCTAAGTTCTGTGCGTCCATTTAATATTAGATAAAAATATCTCTTACGAGTACATATGCTGAACATTTGCAGGCATTGGTTCATCTTCATATTCTCTGTACTTTTCTGCCACGTCAAATAAATAAATGACACAATGGAAAAAACCTAAAACAAGTAGTCCTATTTCAAACCACATTTACTTACTAATAAAATTTCTTTGTTATGACACTTTCTCCAGTTTATAGGACCTCTCTCATATTCTATCTTGTCATATATAAACTCATAGTCATGTATGTCCTCTAACCATCTCATAACGGTTTCCAAACCACTTTTATCGGATGTAAAGTAAAAGCATGGATGGTTATGTAAAACGTCTAAAGTTTCTAAAGAGTCTCTCAAAGTCCAGTCTACTTGGTATTGAAAATCCCATGTGTTATAGAACGGCGGGTCCACTATAAAGAAAACATTTTCCTTGTCTTTATATTTTTCATACAAATCTGTCCAATGACATCTCACAAACTCTATACTCTCAATATATTTATCTATGTCCTCTTTGAAAACATTTGTATAGTTAAGATATAAAACTTTTGACATAAGTGTTTCAATGTCATGAACTCTTATAGAACCACTATATAATAGTCTAGCAGATATACTATCCCAGTCTATATATTCTGCTTTTTTCAAAACCTCTCTCACAATATTTTTCTTATCTAATGGTATACGTTCCATCTTACCTATAGGTATCTTTTCTTTTAACTCTTTCAATATATTGTTTGTGTCTGGAATATGTTTGAGACGGTCCATATAGTTGTCGAAGTCATTGCATATAATCTTTGAGTCTGGGAATATTGTATGGCACAAATGGGATATATAGAAACTTCCACCGAACAAATCTACAAATGTTAGACCATTCGGTAGTTTCTTAAGTTCTCTCAATATAATATCTTTACATTTACTCTTATTTCCAAAGAACGGTAACGGTGGTTTTGTAAAATTCATTTATATATAATAATAAAAATGTTTTTACCTGAAAAGTGACAGAAAAGTGACAAAACATGAAAACATATATAATTTGTGAAAAGCGACACATTATATAATGTTTTCGACCCAGAAGAAGGCTTCTTCCCAGAAGCAATGGAGGAAGAAGAAGAGTCCTCCGAATAAAAACTTCATTTATACTAAACATCAACATCAGGGCTAGAAGGCACGAAGTGCCTGGAAGCCCCACTCCCTTTTTTTTTTTTTTTTTTTTTACTCATAAACTTATATTAATTTGGCTATAGTAAATATTAAATATGAATCAATAACGTTGAAATTAGAAACAAAAGAAAAGAAAAAATTTTATTGAATAAGGTTTTCTGGTTCTGTGATTTGATCTAATGTAGCAAGTGGTCCCATCTTCTTATCTGTGATTACTTTCCAGTTGTCAAGATTAAGAAGTTGTTGGTTGAGTTTCTTCTGAAGTTCTGGCTGTTGTTCAATTCTCTTTGGAGAATTAGCACCATGGATACCAATAGATCTAAGAATTGTAAAGCCAGAATAGTTGAAAGCGTAAAGAGCGCTCCATGCGTAGGCATCAAGGCCATTTCCTTGCTTTGGATCAAAGAACATTGGTGCACTGCCTGTAGAAATGATAGATGTGACCTTCTTGCCGGCAAGATAGCCCTTCTCGAGCATATGTTCAAAGTCCCAGGTGAATGGAACGTTGAGAACTCTCTCTGTGTATGCGTAAACGCAGGATGGAAATCTGCCATACCACATTGGTGTGAAGATGACAACATGTGTTGCCCATTTGAGGTTTTCTTGCTGAACCTTAACTTCATCGACTAAGTTTTCTTGGCCTGTAAGAGCAAAGATATTGAATTGGCCTTCTGGAACCTTCTTGAAGTCCTTTGTTGTAAGTGTTCTGTCAAAACCAGATTCAACTAAATTTACGTATCTAACTTCGTGTCCTGCCTCTTCTAAGGCTTTCTTAGCTGAATCAGCGAATCTGAATGCTGTGGCTTTGTGTGTTGGGTCAACGTGTGCGACAAGGAAAAGAACGCGCATTGTTAAAAGTGAAAACTTTCTTTGAAAAAATATTGCTCATTGAAAAATTGAATGAATCTTGAATTTTTCTGACATCTCTCAAAAAAAATTTTGCAACAGGCACCTGTGAGTTCGTTTTTTAAAATTTAGAATCATCTGATAGAATGATGACATATTTATATTGACAATTTAGTTTTTTACGTCTTGTAACAAAATTTTATTGTAAAGCATTCAATATTTTCAATGAACACCATTGAAACCCATGACCGTGATATTTCATGTTTGTTCAAGTCAAGCGATTGAAGATACGGACTTGGAAACATGTTTAACACTTATTTGTATCGAATAACCATTGAAATAATGTAGATAATATGATTTTGCAATGTCAATATCATTAGATGAAGCATATAATTAATATATTATTGGACTATGTTGCTTATATCTTGTGTTATCTATAGTGATGTAGCTAGAACTTTGATGAATATCTTATGATTTGAAGAATTTAGAATTAGTTAAGCAACCAAGCGATATAATATTGTCTATTATTTATAGGAAGTCAAATAAGACAAATATCTGCATATTCTTACTATTTCTTACAAAATAAGATCTAATATCTATAATTATACAATTTAATTTCACGAGGATCATTTAATATGATCAAATTATTGATATGAAAAATTTCACTATAGAAAAATGGCAATATAAGGTCCACACAATCAAAAATTGAAAATAACAAATCTGAGTTTGAATTTCATTATTCGTATGATTATACATTGAGTATGTTTCAAGAATGAATATCTCTTGTCATAAAAATATGAGTTTGAATACTAAGACAACGCTGATCAAAATATAAACAGATCAAATAGAAATAAATGTAATATATACACTTCAAAGGTGAAAGTTTGTAAGCGACTAGATAACTAAGAATTTGATTTCTTATTCAAGATAAGCTTGCAGAGTTGATGTATTACAAATGCTTTAGTATGTTATATCGAATGAGATAGTCTGGATGTATCAAATCAGAAGAACATTATTCGACAAATTGTAAAAATGTCTAACTGTAGCATCTAGATATATTTTCTTAATATACAAGATAAGCTATATTTAAACAATATCAAACTATCACAAGACAATGATATTGTCACTTTTCTCGTCTGGCCATTGTGAAATAACAATAGAAATCCATTTCTTATATATTAATAATGATCTTTCATCTAACAACCTAGTCAGAATTTTCCATTTTTATCTCACCTTTGTCTAGACAAAAGCGAAAAATGTGAATAAAAGAAATCTTTAACGGCGGTTTTGTCATTTATGAGTTCCCGTGGACGTGGAAGAGGAGGCCGTGGCAGAGGCGCACGCAGTCCCAGACCATTACCAGAAGTTCAAATCAAGGAATACGATATGTCAGCCCTCAATGCAGACGCTGACCTGGAAAATGAGGATTCAATTTACATCAATCCCAAATGCACTTCATTCGAAGATCTCATTGACGATTCATATAAACACAAGATCGATGCTATTCAGTCTATCTACATGAAAGGAAATATTCAGCATCCATCATATATTCAAACAAGAGCAATTCCGTACCTCTTAGAAAATCCACCAAAGAGTATCCTCGCTCAAGCATCTACAGGTGAAGGCAAAACACTCGCGTTTATCCTCCCAATGTATCTTCGTGTCGATCTTGAAAATCCTAATATTCAGGCAATCTGTGTTTGCCCAACACGCGAACTTATCCAGCAAGCCTACGATTGGATGATGGATGTTTCCGCTCTCAATCGTGTTACAATCCTAGAATTAATGCGTACAGAAGAATCCAAGGAAGGACAAGAAGAATCCAAGGAAGGACAAGAAGTTTCCAAGGAAGGACAAGAAGTTTCCAAGGAAGGACAAGAGGAAGCAAGGGAAGAAAAGAGTGCCCAAGTAATTATCGGTACTCCAAGCCAAATCTCGAAATTACCACGTGATACACTCAGATCTGTCAAGATTTGCGTTTTCGATGAAGCCGATAATATCTTCAACTCCGAGCAGCACAAGCACTACGCCCAGAGGATTATAAACAACATTCCAGACACATCCCAAGTTGCTTTCTTCTCCGCCACATATCCAAAGCAGGTAAAGATCCACCTCGAACACTATATCAGCCGCGACCTTATTCCAATCACAATTCAGCGTAAGGACCAAATTGGCCTTATCAACAACGTTTTCACATGTTGCGACAGAAGCGAAGTCGATGACTTACTCATCAAGGCTTTGAGAAGCATCCAGATCTCCTCAGCCTTCATTTTCGTTTCAAGAAAGGTCGATACAGAGAAATACAAGAATCTTCTCATCCAGAACGGCTTTACTGCTACAGTATTGACAGCCGACCTTTCTTCTTCCCAGCGTGACCAGAACCTTAAGGATTTCAAGGAAGGAAAGGTCAAATTCCTTGTCACAGTCAACATTTTCGGTCGTGGTATCGATATCCCATCCGCCACCCACATCTTCAACATCGATCTCCCGGTCCCAGAAGTAATCCGCAGAAAAGTCAACCAACGCGAAGTTATCAGAAGATTTACAGATGTCGACTCTTACGTACACCGCGCAGGCAGAGCAGGCAGATTCGGTAAGAAGGGCTGCGCATTTACATTCGTAACAAGCGACAGAGACTTCAAGTCAATTTGCCTTATTTCCAGAATGCTTTCCGCCCCATTCTACGAGATCAAGAAGGAGCAGATCGATAACTTCGAATTCCGTCATGAGATCGATCCTCAAGATGTAAAGAATGCGACAAAGGATATGACTGATAATGATGTCAAAGCACTAGCTAACGCAATCGAAGAACAGCCTGAAGAACCTGCTGCTGAAGCAGAACAACCAGTCGATGAAGCTGCTGATGCACCAGTTGCCGAATAAATTTAATAAATAATTGAATACATTTATATAACTTTGATATTCAAAACTACTTTTCAGACTTTTTTTTAATAAAATTTCATATAAAATATTTTTTTTTCAGGAATACATGTACATATGAAATGAAAATTTCTCTAGATGCCATACTTTGAACATTCTGTGTATAATTCTTAAAAACAAAAAATAACATACAAATTTTCATGGCTTAACTCCCCATTGCTCACTCGTACCAAAATGCTTCTAAGATCTCATTCTAAAAATTGAATTGGACATAATGTTTGTGAGAATGAGTAAAATATTTTCTTCTATATTAAGGATCTTAATGACTGTAGAGAGAATAAATCATTAATTTCCTTGAGTGATAGCTTACAACTTCATCAATACACTGATATTCATTAGATCAATCAAAAGGATATTTCATTTGATATCAGTTTTATACGTTCATCTCTAGTATAGCTATACTCACATTATACGTATTATATAAATAATATTTGTACCTCAATAGCTATCTTCATAATCCAATTTTGAAAAAAAGTCGATGGCATTTTTTGAGACAGACAAATTAGATTTTGATTTGACTGTGATTTGCACTTTCAAATGCAAATCACTTAATGAATCACCTCATAATTTATCCGAGTCAATTATTTGAAATTAAAACGATATTTTATTTCCGGTAATAATTAGTATATGAACATTTTTATGCACTAAAAACTTTGATTCAAAATAAGATTTTTCAATGGATTCAATTTAATTTTAGATACCTTTATATTAAATACACAGAATATGGGAAATTATTTTATTGAAAAAAAAAATTTTTTTCTTCTGAAAAACCCAAATAGAGAAAGAGAGAAAGAAAAAAAAATTTAATTCAATGAAAACAAGAAGTATGACTAACTCCTTATTTATATTGCTTTTCGCCTTCATTGGATCATATCTAGTCTATGAAGGATACGCTAAAAACCCTCTAACAGATACTTACAAAGATTATCAAGGAAAAGTTTGGCAAATTCCAAAACCTAACGCTATTACAAAAGTAATTAGTGAGCTTTACAGACTTGTTCCACGTGGCAATCTCCAATTCAAAATGATGGTATCAGCGCCGTTTGATTTAGAAAATAGCGACTACATTGAATCAAATCTCGTCAATATCATACTTTGCGCTGCTGTCGGCTTGCTCTTCACATTTATATTCCTTATTGTTTTGTCTTGCAAATTCTGCTGCAACAGATGTGGTGGTAAATCTTTGCCAAGAGAAGGTTATTCACAGTACCAAATCGATTCTTCCCGCGGATGCCTACTTATTTTCGCTTTTATTCTTGAATTTTTACTCATTTATTCTTTCTTTGTCAATTTCGACGTCAACAACTCCGTCAGCTTGCTTGCGGAAAGAATGGATAACTACTCAACAGATATGATCAATATTTTCAAGCCAATAGTTGAGAAATTGAAAAAAAATTGGTCAGTTCCACTCGAATATTGGGATTATGAAACTTGCAAGGCAGATTTGCAATACACACTCAATTACTATCAAACTAGAAGTGAAAGTCACAGGTCAAATATGAAAGCTTTAGAAGGAATTCGTATGCTTGTTGTTATTCTCGCTTTAGGATCATGTACAATTGCCTGCACGTTCGGTATTGCAGCAGGATCAATCTACCGCGCATGGCCAGTCTGGATTATGGTCATTATGTCGATCATTTTATTCCCATTCATCTGGGCATCGTTTGCCTTCCACTTTTCCATCGGAAAATCATTGGATGACTTTTGTTATGAGATTCCTCCATATATAACACCCACCAAAAACAAATTTATCCCATTAAGATTACAATATTTCTTCCAATGCATTAATTCACCCGTTTTCCAATTTGTTCATCAAGGATATTACATACCCGCCCTACAGAAAGTCCAAACTTTCATCCAAAAGGCCAAAAATTGTGGAATACAATTTGATGTTGAGCCATCAATAGAAAACATCAACGATGATAAGTATAATCCAACATCATGTCCAGAAGCAAAGACAGCTCGTGATGAAGCACTCGAAAAACGCGATCTTGCATTGAATGTCAAAGAATTAAATAATTGTAACAGCGCAAAGGTCAGTTACAACGAAAACAAGTTCCTTCTCTGCAAATACTCACAGTACAACTTCCAAATGCTTACTCTTTCCCAGTGCGTTGCCTCATTATTCCTCATCTTCATCTGTTCCACAGGAATTGGCTCAATTCTCAAGTTCAAGTGGGCTCAGACATCAGGTATGATGAAGTTCGATGGCAACAATGGCTTTGCTGGCCGTTCTGCAAGACCAAAGAGAACAGAATAAGTGTTTTTTATAATTTTATATCTAAAGAATTTATTTTTTTCCATCTTGAATTTGATAATAATATTTATACCTTAAATTTGAAACATATGAAATAATTTTTCGGAATCTTAAGAAAAAAAAGCTAAAAATTATAATATTTTGGTGATTTTGATGAATTTATAGCAAAGGGTGATGCTCTTTTTGGAAAAAAATTGATTTAATCAAAAAAATTCGAAACTAAAAGTTCACACTATCATGTGTTAAGATCATAATTATCTACTATTCTCTAATCTATTTCAAAATGTTAAGATAATTTTAGTGAAGCTCAACTCATTTTAATATTTTGCGGACGACGAAGAGACAGAAAAGAGCTTCACACTAAAAAAAATTCAAAAAAGTTTGGTTTCTTATGATTATGAAGAGTTAGAAATGTTTACTAAAGTTTGTAAAAAAAGAGAAAGTTTATTAACATAAGAAATACTTTTATTGATAATTGCAAATTCTGCTTGGCAAATATCAGTTGAAAAATGAATCAATTTGTTAGTAAATAGTTCTCTTGGATTAGTAGGTTTTACATTTCTATAAAATGTTGTTGAAATCGAATTGTCAATGTAACAACTATCAACTGTTAATTGATCATTGTTAAATATCAAATATGAACCTTCAGGACCAGTGTTGTTAATAAAAGAACAACTTTTTACAGTAAGAGAATTTTGATAATGGTAAATAATTCCATATGTTGATTTTGTTATGGTATTATTTATAATATTACATGAATCAATCAAAGCGTAATAGTGAATATTTATCATTTGACCTTCACTATCTGTTGCTAAATTATTAACAACAGTTGAATAATTAAATGTTGTTGTGTATTTACGTGAATCACATTTAAACCATCCAACAGAATATGAAGTAGCTTTACATGATGAGAAATTTGTTGATGAAACTACGATATTATCACTCATTGTATAAAATGTAAAACTACCAACACTTTCATTTCCTACATCGAAAAGGGAACTTTCAATAACAAAGTTTAAGTTATCTGTGCCAACTTCTGTATATGAAAATTGGCCACTTTTTGAGCTTTGGCATTTTGTACAACAGAATTTTCGTTGAACAATTGAACTATTCTTGCCAATTTTGTAGTAAATGCAACTTCCAGATTCTGTTGAAGTGCAATGACTAAAAGAACACCGATTATGTAGGAATAAAGAGTTTTCAATTGGGTAAAAGTAGATAACTCGGTTATTATCATCAAAAAAATTGCACTCATCTAAGAAATACTGGTGATTGTTGGTCTCTAGATTGCAGTTCTGACGATTTTTGATTGGATTTCCTGTAAACTGAATTGGAAAATAACTATTCCAGGGATCGTCATCTTCATCAGATGGCTTTCTCCCAAAATTTTCCAATTGTCAAAAAAGACGATATGTAAAAAAGGGAAGTTTCACTTTTATCAAAACCACAAAGAATGCAAATATGCTTGTAGCATTGAAATATTTATTTATATTATGGGAGCAGTATGCTTTGATGATTGTTTTTTGACTAAATAAACCAGAATTGGATATAGGAATGTAAATATGAGGTAAACTCATGTTACTCTTGGGCTACTTTACAAATAATTAAATAAATTGGCACCAATATACCACCTTTTTTGATGTTAATTATAATTTTGATGGATTAGAATTATGAGTTAATGGCTCATATTCATGTATTGTTATCATTAAACTGATAAATAAAAAATTAATGAATTAATTTTTAATTAGGATAAATTAATCTCATACTATACGAATCTTTGTAGAAAGAACTCTCTTAATTAAAAAGTTCAATTTATGGTGCATCATCCTGAGCTGATTTAAAATCACTAGCATTTTCTTCGTTTTGGCTTTTTGAAGAAGATTTTGAACAGCAGCATAATGATGCATGACAAAAGATGCACATAATTGCAAAAACAATAGAAATAATAACAATAACAACTATGACAACAATAATAGCAATTAAATATGGTGGAAATCCCTTTCCACCAACTTTTCCGATAGGTTCTCCTCTATCCATTCTCTCGCTTGATGATTCTGAAATCTTGTAATAATGACGCTGTGATTCGCTATCAATAATTAATGGATAGTCAACTAATTTTGCATCAATTTTGAAATTCATCCCACCTTCTTCCTTTGCAATTGGAGTGTAATACACGGATAATTCCTGATAGGCAGTTATTTTTTCTTCATAGTCGTTGTTGTAAAGTAGTCCATTATCTCGGAGTGAATTAAAACGTACATTTTCTGGGGTGATTTCAATTGATCCATTTTTCATGATCAACAATGTGCAATATCTATAATATTTACCTGTTTCAACCCAATAATTGTTTGTTCCCGAAATGATAACATTTTTATCACACCCGTCTGATGAATAATTGTAAGCAAAGAAGCTACAAGGGAAAATTCTTTGTTCTGCATTTGATTCAGCGGAAATTATTGTAAAATTCAAAAATCCATGATCTGCAAATTCTATAACATTGATACCTATTCTTCCACCAACTTCTAATTTGTGTCCATTTGTCACGGCCAAAACTGCTATTGTGTCAGAGTCAAATAAAAAGAATGTTGTACCTTTAGGAACCCAGTAATATGTTGTCATGTTAACAAAATTCTTGTCATTAAATCCATATTTCAGTTCCTTGTCTAAAGTAACCTTTTCTGATGCTAAATTATTTTGAACTTTAATTGGAGTTTGAAAATTTGATGGGAATGCTGTATAATCAAATAACTTAGCCTCGATTAAATCATCTTGATCATTATTTGTTACGGTATATGTTGTGGCAGCCTGTGACATTTGAGCATGCTTATATTCTAATAAAAATATATGAGATTCTATTGGATCTGTACTTGGAGTTTCAGTTGGGATACCACCATCTGAACTATATCTTTTTTGGTTATTGTCATTAGATGATGAAATTTCAAGAGTGATTTGTGTTGTAGAGATAATAACTAAATAACGATTCATGTTCATTGGTGCCATACCTGATATGGAATACGTGCCTGATTTTGCATTAATCCACTATTCTAGAGAATTATAAGTACTTGGAATTAGGAAAATGCCAAACGAAAAATCCATACTATTAGAACTCCTTGCTATATATGATTCCTGCAATTCTTTGAATGTATATATGTATTCATTTATTGGTGACGCATTCAATCTGAGATATTCTTTTGAACAGAAAATAATATAATAATTTGAGTCTTCGCGGCCTGCAAGCTTAAAATCAAATGTAACACCCTCCATTGAAATGAATGCTGAGTAATATCCTGTGCTTGAGATTTCTAAAGAGCTGGATAAAGATAAAAAGAAGCTAAGGAACATAATGAATTATTTGAGAGGTCTACAAACTTTGCTGCCATTCAAATTTTGAGATGCATTCAAAATATAGGCTTTAAAATATTTCAAAAAGTATTTACTGAATGATAATCATATTCAATTTTTTAAATTCATCAGAATTAATTATTAATGATAACTAGTAGCCAAGATGTTTGGTATAAATATTAAAAAATATTGCGGGTATTACAAAAATTAAGTCTTTTCAAAATATGAATCATTGAAAGAATATTAATTATCAAATCGAGTAATGAACTACTATTATACTTCCAACAGAATTTACGAAATCAATGCATAAAATATATTATTTCTTACCAACGGTCTTTTGGCATCGATATAAATTCGTAATTTTAGAGTTGAGATGTGGAAATTTAATATAGTATGAATATTTTGATGGTCAGGAAAAGAATAACTCCGAAAAGGGCAAACCCAAATTTTAGCTAAAAGTGACAGGAAAAAAAACGTTTAGTATTAAAAAAAAGACCGATGAGAGCTTCGTTCGAAATATAGAGGGAACTGAGAATGCGCAACCATTCTCAGGGAATATTGGATGCTATTCCCGTTCCCTCTGTATGGAAAATTGAGGTTTTCAAAGGGAGTTAAAATAATATCAAATTTATACTAATTTACTTCAAAATACAAAAGTATTTGACAGCTAAAATTAGTTACTTTAGCAAGCCTATCAATACCCTTTTACGATTATTGTTACTTTTTCGAAATAAAAGTAAAAACAAATTTATACTAATTTACTTCAAAATACAAAAGTATTTGACAGCTAAAATTAGTTACTTTAGCAAGCCTATCAATACCCTTTTACGATTATTGTTACTTTTTCGAAATAAAAGTAAAAACAAATTTATACTAATTTACTTCAAAATACAAAAGTATTTGACAGCTAAAATTAGTTACTTTAGCAAGCCTATCAATACCCTTTTACGATTATTGCTACTTTTTCGAAATAAAATAAATTTATTATCAAAAACCTTTTTTTTCTTAGTAAAAATAAAAATGTTATTTTATATCAAGTTTTTATTCATAAATTTTTATAATGTTGTATAAATTTCATTAAAATTTACGTACATATTAAGGTACTTATCTTCTACATATATAATCTTCATTAGATATATACATGATAAATAAAATTCAAAAAATTAGATGAACCTTGGCAATTAAACTTTATTAAATAATAGTTGTTTATAAATTATATTATATTATTATTTAATATTATTTTGATAATGAAGATTTAATATAAAAAGGTGACCAAACTATTTTTTGAAAGTCCGCCATAACTTTAATGGTACTATTTCAGCGTGTACAATGAATACAAAAATTCTAAGAGTGCCACATAAAATAGTACTTTAGACTTGAGTTAATGCTACCAAGCAAATGTTAAAAAGATGACTTTAGTGTTTTGATAATCAAAGATTAAAATCATTATTGTCTAAATCAATAATCATAACGACAGAAGTTAATGTTTTTTCATAAGTGCTTTAAATCCACTTTTAAAAGTATACCTCAAAAATCAAAATATCAAAAAAAAATTGGCCGATAGGTTTGGCTTTAATTTTTGTCTGCTTTTATGATTTGATATGGATGTTATAATTTTAAAAGTTGAGCCAAATTCACCAATAGATTTTTGAGATTTGCAAATACTCAATAATTTTCAGCGTGTTATCTTTTATTAAAAGAACTATTTGGTTTCAGTATCATATAAATTGATATTTACTTTCTATTTGAACCTTCATTTAGCTAATGATTTAATAATACAGATTTCATCTAGTCCTTATAAGAGAATTTTGAATTTGTTATAATAAAAAAACAAACAGATATAGCTTACACTTCTATAATAAAGATACCTTTTATAGAAATCAGTATGAAATGTGTTTTGGCTTATTGGAAGCATATCAGACATAATCGCCATAATCAAAAAATCTATATACCCAATAAGTAATAAATTTGTCGATATAGATTTTCCATAAAATTAGTTTTTAGTCTGATCTTAAAATAAATTTAATTTTTTATAAAAAAAATCACATTTAAAAGTACCTTTTTAGTAGCTCGAAATCCTGTTGGTGGATTTCGGGCGTACTTCAAAATTAGCTTTTCTTCTACATATGCAAGCTATATTTTAAATATGGAGCAAATCGGATCGGCGAAAGGAGTTTAGTTACCTTTTAATATAAACGAAATTTTTTACCTTATGAACTTTTGATGGAAATATGCAAATTTAAAATAATAAAGAAAGCCGCGAGCGAAGCGATCGGCTTAGTTCGAAAATTTTGATTCAAATCTTTGCTGATCTGTAATTCGCGGAAGCCGCGAGCGAATCGAGCGGCTTAGGTCTAAGATTTTGATTCAAATCTTTGCTTATATTCCTTAAATTCTTTATGAAACTCGCAACAGTTCCATAAAAAATTTTAAATTCTAAACTGTCGAAATTACCGATCGGTAATCACACCCTTCACGGGTGTGTCACTTTTAGCTAAAATTACTCCTACTCCTCCGAAAAGCTCATAAAAATTAAATTTTTTATGGACAGAATATGAGTATCATTATACTTAACCATATGGTGAGAATCTTTATCAATGATCTATACTCTTAATGTTTGAATATCATAGTTTTCAAAAATGTACTTTAATTACCCATTGAAAAGACAAGATATGATGTATACTATGTTTAGGTTTATTCATAAAAATATTAATTCTTTCATATGAAAAAAAAATATTTTTAAGTCCCTCATGCCCGCATAATATCAATATGTCTTTATTGTTATTTCAAAAAAAGTATAACAATAATATAAGGTACTAGGTAGTGATTTAAAACAACTTTTTCTCTAACTAAATAATTAACTTTTTACCTTAGAAAATTTAGATAAAAAGAATGATTGTCAAAAAAATTAAGAGTATGTCAGATAGTGATAAGTGCGCCCTTAAGACATTACTTTCTGGCATATATTAATATTATCATTATCTAGCCTTTAGTCTAATAGTTATCCGATACTTGCTTTTTTTAGATAGCGCCCAATAAATTCACATATATAACACTTTTCAACTTAAGTAAGTGAAGAAAATAAAAATCTATATACTTTTCAAAGTTTTGAGACAATGCATCAGACATCTTAATGTGTTGTATGTTCAAGCTAAAGGTTTTTATGGTGTTATTGACAACACTATCGTGTTCGAATCATAGTTTCTTTATGCCGATAGGTAGGGAGCTCAAAAGCATCTATGACTGTTGCATTGTTTAATTCTATCTTTTGATGGAAATTTTGACAAGTAAAGTTGCATCATCAATTAGTATCTGATGTTAAAAAAGCTAATTGAATATTGTGTAACAAATTTTATCAATGGCGGAGCAGGAATTTGTGAGAGCAATAATGAACTCATTCTTATTTGCCGAATTCTGCTTGGCAAATATCTATTGAGAGATGACTCAAATAATACTTGGTGAGGACCGAGAATTCCCCAAAAAATTGCTTTCATCTCATCCAAACGTTTTGAACCATAGTTTTCTTTTGTGGTCTTATGAGTTTAAATATGATTAATGGCGTCGTGGGAATTTGTGCGAAATGTAATTAATCATTTCGGTTTGATTTATCAATTTGATTTCAGTACTGTTATTGATAATTGTTAAATTTGCTTGGCAAATATATGCCGAAAAACCTATCAGATTGTTAGTAAATAATTTCCTTGAATTTTTTGGGACGATGTATGTATTAAATGTTTTACTTGTTGAATTGTCGATGTAACAACTATCAACTATAAAATTACCATACCAATGATATATCAAATATGTGTCAATAGTAACAGTGTTGTGAATGAAAGAACACCTTTTCACGGAAAATGAATTTTTCCAATGACGTAAAATTCCATATCCATCTAGTATTTTGTTATCTATAAAATTTTACCATATATACTTGTTGCCAAATTATTAACAACAGTAGAAAAGTTGAATTTTGTTGCATGATTAAGATTTGCGTATATATAATGTCCAACAGCATTATCGGGTGTTTTGCATGATGAAAAGTTTGTTGATGAAACAACTATATTATCATTTTTTGTGATGCAACCAGATGTACCAATACTTTCATTACCTACATCAAAAAGGGAACTTTCAATAATAAAGTTACATGTGTCAACTTCTGTATATGAAAATTGTACTCCATATTTATCTTGGCTTTGGCATTTTGTACAACAAAATTGTCTTTGAACAATTGAACTACTTCTTCCTTTATAGTAAATGCAAGCAGCATATGATAATGCAATGCAATAACTAAAAGAACAGTGATTATGTAGAAATAATGTGTTTGAAACTGTATCAAAGTTGATGATTTGGTTATTATTATTGTAAAAAATGCATTCTTCTAAGTAATATTGACCTTTTCCTGGTGATATTTTACAATTTTTGCAGGATTTGATTTTATTTCTTAATATTGAATTTGGAAAGTACATGTTCCATATATCTTCATCGATTTTGGATGTCCTTAGTTTTAATTTGGTAAAATGGTGAATAATTGTTAGCATCAAATTAAAGGTTTGGGAAATGATCCCTTACTTTTTGAAAATCCTTTCAGAGATTTTTGAGTGATCAAAGAAAAAATAATTGTTGAATTTTAAAAGTTTAAAATCTTGATTAACACCATATCTATCAACAAATTTAAGGTCATAAAAATCTCATTGAAATATTTTGAAAACAAATTTTAATAAGATCGACTATTTGACATGTCAAAATCTAGATCCGACGTCTGAAATTATAGAAGAATTTAACTACAACTTTTGATGAGTTATCTAATAATATGTGTCTCACATGGAAAATGGGAACATATATTGATTCTTGTATGTAGAATTAATCAAAAAAAAACTCAAAATTTCCAAATATTTATAAAGAGGGAATTCAAACAAATTAATAAACCGATCAATCTGACAGCACAACAATACTATAGATTATATAAATTAATTTAAAGAAAAAATATAAAATTTTATAAAATATTAAAAAAATGAACTAATTTGACATTCCCTTGAATTTTTGGCACTCATCAATTTGTGGAATCATCTTGAAGGATAATTCCTTTTTTTTAATCATCAATATGGGAGAATAGATGATCATTTAAAAAAACTTGTTTTGGCTTCGATTTGAACATAATTATGTTTAAACAATGAATTCATTTTGTTAGGAATTATTTGTCATAAAACTAATATACCCAGATGGAATGATTCATATGTTTTATTTTAACTATAGATTGAGTCATCATGATTTTCATGACCTAAATTTGACCATTGCAATAAAATATATTCAAAAACTTCGAAATGCTGGCTGGTTATAGATTTTTTGCACCAAAATAGCTTCATTTGTCGCGAAGAAATCTATGTGTTTTTGCTGATATCACCATATTTGAAATGCCCTTTCTCTCTACTGAGTGAGATTGCCGTTTATTTTTACTAATTTCGCGGGGAAAATGGAAAAGAATCATGGGAAAAAACTAGAAGAAATGACAATAGATGAACTTCAGAAGGAACTAGATTCGATTAAAAAAGAAAAAGCAGATATGAGAAAAGAACTCAACCAAACATTTGAAACAATGAATAAAAAAATTGCTGAAGCAAGAACCGAATTTGACAAAGAATTGGATAATCAAGCACTAAATTTAGAGCAAGCAATTAAGGATTACCGAGAAGCAATTGTTGAGCTTAGATCTTCCAAGGATTCAGAACTCAACACAACAAATACACTTACATCAAAGAATGTTGAATTTATAAGCGAATTGATTTCTGTATTAAATGTTAGCTCAATGGATGAAATTCCAGCTGAAATTACTCGTTTAATACAACTGCAAGCAGATTACAACAAATTACAGCAGCAGTTGCAAAAAGAATCTGCATCTGGTAACAATTCCAAAAACATTAAAGAACAAGCAGTTATTACAAAGTTAACTAAACTTCTTAAGATTTGGGATATTAAAAACGTTGGCCTAAATCCAGAATCCCCATTAATTCCTTTATTGAATTCCTTAAACGGTTGGATATCGCTGATGACTCAACCAGATTTTAATCAAAGGGCGATGGATGAAGCTGTCCATGAATTACTTGAAGTACTTAATAATCTTGCTGAAAGCAAATAATTACTGTTCTAACTTTTTAATTGTATTTTAATAAAAAATTATCTATAAAATTCTTTTATGTCCATTATGTATATATAAATGTCTCGCTTAGGGAATCAGAGTTATTGACTTTACATGAAAGTTTAAATATTTTGTATTTAGTAGATCCCAGATGTTATTTTTCCAATCGAAATCTTTAGTATATATTAATAATTTATACATAAGAGGTTGCTTTAGCATTGACAGTCTCATAATAAAAAACAAATAACAAATAATTTTAAAAAAATTAGAATAAGAATAATATTACAGTTTAAAATATGAATTAATACATTAGTTATCCGATTCTGTTTCAAGAATAGTCTGATATTTTTCAATTTCAGCTTCCATTCGTTCAATTTTCGCTCTGGATTCATCAATCTTAGCTTCGAGAGCAAGAATTTCATCTTCAAGGGCTTGCTGATCTTGTTCTGTACGAATATTGCCGTTTTTTGCCGATTCTAACTTCTCTTGTTCAGCGACTAAGTTTTGACGTTCTGATTCTATGTTAACTCGAGAAATTTCTTCTTGGGCACCATCAATATATGCCTTAAATTTAGCAGCATTGAATGCATCATCTGAATTTGAAATGGAATCGATTGTAGCTTCATGTAATTCACCTACGAGCTTATCGATTTGGGCATTGTAGTTATTATACATTTTGATCTCTTCAAGATGTTTCTGAATGGTCTGACGTTTTGCCAAAGATTCTTCGTTGTATTTTTGTAGTAAATCCTCTTTTTGTTTATTTGTTTCTTCGATCTTCTTTCTAATATCATTGTTCTTCTGTTTTAATGCAAGAATTTGGTCGATTTTCTCTTGAATTTTCTCTAATCTCTTTGCTTCTTCTGAAAAATCTGTTTTGTAATCTAAATCTTTGATTTGAGGAACTTTAACATCAATAAGGTTATGCTCTTTCTTTATTTCCAATCTATTTTGAAGTTGTAATTTTTCATTTCTGAATTTAATTTGCATTTCTCTAATTGTATTTTCAGCTTCTAGCTTAGACACTTGTGTGCTGAGTTCCATAAGCTCTTTTCGAAGTGCTTCTGTTGGTAATGTTTTGTGATTTGATTCCATAATTTTATTTGCTGCTTCAAGTTCTTCAACCATTGGTTTAAGATTAGTATATGTCATTTCTGGTTCAGCCAACAATCTTAATGCATTGCCTTCACGTTCATTTAAGGTATCTTCGAATCGAACAATGGAATTTGCAAAGGAAAGGACCTTCAAGGTTCTTTGATTTAAATTTTCGGACATCGCTATGTTTTGATTGCTAAGATCTTCTATGTAATGGCCACCCTTTACAAACTCACCAAGATCTTTCACGAATTTTTCTTGTTTGTTCTGAAGGTCTTTAATTAACATCTCGTCCAAACAGCATTTGCTACTGCTTTCAACAGCAGAATTGCGGATTGCACCGAGTTTTGTTCCCCTCATCCTTTGAAAATTTTTCTAAACGGTTGTACAAAACCCTTTAATTGCATTTCACAATGATTAAATAAATACTTATCATATGTGTGATAATTTTTCAACTTGAAAATCTTCCCTTCTCCTGTTTTTTAAAATTGAAAATCTATTTTTCAGGAATCCAAGGCTTGCAATAGATTTTCTATGCAATACATAGCGATTACTCTTTGTATTTGTTGCTTTCATGTGATAGCTTCAGATAAATGATCAAAAATTCTTTAAAATGCATTAAGTATTTTATATTTCTATATTTTATCATGAAGAAAATAAAATTTTTAAGTAACACCAGCAAAATAGCCAACTTTTTAGATATCGTCAATAAAATTACGAGATATTCAATATGTTTATATGGGAATTATTATACAAAGGATATGTTCTTTCAATCCACATAAAAATAACAAATCATTCTCATGATTGTTCGAACAGAGCATTTTAAAAAAGTGTCAAATGAGTGAATATCAATTCCCCAAAGAATCAATGGGTACAACCCTCCTTGCCATTCAGTGCACAGATGGTGTTGTCATGGCCTCAGATTCTAGAACAAGTTCAGGCAGTTTTATCCCAAACCGTGCTACAAATAAAATCACTGAAATTCAACCAAAAATCTTCGCTGCTCGCTGTGGCAACGCTGCTGATACTCAATTTTTAGCCCGTGCCGTTAAAAACTATCTTAATGCTCTTAATATTACCAGAGAAAATACAGATGATAGTACTATCTTGGTTGCTTCTAATGTTATCAGATCTCTTATTGTTAGATACAGGCAATACCTTTCTGCTGGTGTCATTGTTGGCGGTTGGGATTCTGCTGGACCTCAAGTTTACAGTATCGAGGTTTCTGGTATGGCAATTAAAAAGAAGATCGCTTCAAACGGTAGCGGCTCAACATACATTCAAGCATACATAGATCAGAATTACAGAGAAGATATGACAATGGAAGAAGCTACGAAATTTGCAATTGCGGCAGTTACAGGTGCTATAATCCGTGATGGTTCATCAGGTGGTGTTGTTAATATTGTACAGATTAACGCCGATGGAGCTAAGAGAATGACAGTTCGTCCAGCTCAACAACCATTTAATTACGATATTGTCAAGGGTTAAATAAGAAATTCTGAACTAAATATCTCATTTATTTTATCTCGTATATTTTACATACAATACCATTGATTTTTCTTAGTTCAAAAATAAAAAAAAATTATCCTAACACAATAATCCCTAATCCTTAACAAAAACTACTAAATTCTGTTGTATAATATTATACAGGTAGAATTTTACTTCTTTTATCTTTCATCAATGAAAAATATTTTGATATCTTTTTATTCTAATAACAAACTACTATATAACTCACAATGCATGCAAATTTGGATAAGATTTGTTATTCAAAATGTGCATTTCAGAGTTAATAAATGATCTCAGATCAAATAACTTCATTTCCTGCTTATTAGTTGAAATCATAGAAATACCATATGTGACATATATTAACTAATAGTATATTCATCTCAGTTCCCAGATAAAATTCAAAAATTTATATCTCGAAAGGAGAAAAATGATTTTAGAAAAATTTTTGGTTGTTAATATAAAAGTATGTTCGAAATATTTTATTTATTCTATTTTGTTTTAATTGGATGGACCATTGCTGCGAGCTGGATTAATTCTATAAAGCATTGAATCTATAATCTCTACGCTAACATTATCATAAGCAACCTGGTCAGCCAATTTATTAGCTCTCTCTTGATCAATTGATTCTGTATGAACAAAGCTTAATAAAGAGGCATAACTCTTGGAATTTTGTTGTATGAGCTTCTCAATGAAATCAAATAATTCGTTATCTGATATATCAAAGCTTTCGTCTGAAAAGATTTGCTCAAAAGCGCAAATTGGTAATTTGAAGAACTCTGGATTTTGAGAATAAGTATCAAAGTCATTGGCTAATATTTTTGCACATGCTGAATTATCGATGTTCGATTCACCATAATATTTCATGATTTCTATGGCGTTTTCTGGTGTTGGTTGAACGATATAATTGAGAGTAGCTTTCTGCAAGTATTCTAATTCGAGAATTGTTGCGATTTCATTCAAAAATGGCGCATTTTGTAAAGTAATTGTAATTTTATGGCCATGAAATAGATTACTGATTAATTGGAAGTAATTGTTTGGATCTTTGAGCTTAGTGAATGTATATGATGAGAAATTGGGATCATTCAGAAACTCTCTATTCATACTCGGTGAAAGGGAGCCAACTGCAACTCTGTGAACAGGATATTTCTTTCCATCGATGCAAAAGGTGAAATCTGGTGGAACAAGTTCTGTTGGACAAAATGCTTTGCCTCTTGGAAATTGTTGCATGAAAATGAGAAAAAAAATCCCACCCGTCTTATAAAAGTTGCCTAAAAATTATTACGCATTACTACATCATTTCTATGCAATATATGATGTGGTTATCAATAATCTCTTATAGATATCGCTTGTTTATTAGTATGATTAATGATACCTCAGTGAAAATCAACAACGCCAACAAGCAGTTATTACATGTTCATAAGAATTCTGGATAGAATGTTAGGTAAAGAAGTTTTCATTAATTTTTCGTTTAGTCAAAAAAACAAAATTTAATCAGATAAATAGTTTGGTTCTGAAGAATCTTTTTCAATATCTTGATTTTCTTTGGTAGGTGGAGATTCAATATCACGAGTTTCTTGATTATCATCATTTCCGTCTCCGCTATAGTCGCCTTTGCTTTCACGACATTTGTAGAAGATGATGAATCCAATAATAACAAAGATGACAATGAATGTGATGCCTGTAACAATGGATGCAATGGTGAGTTCTAAGACAACTTGACTATGAGGTTTCGCATATGGATCATCAAGCTGTTTGCTGTCTGGATCAAGTGGATCTCGAACAAATGTCATCTCTGATAGTTTGACTGTTCGACAGAATAACTCTGGATCAACACAATATGCTATTCGTTTATATGTGCCCCATCCACCACCGCCGCTTGTGTGCATAGTGTAGTTGAAACTCTGATTAACTGTAGTTCGGTTGCATGTGATGTTCAATGGTTGATTGTCAATCCATGTTGAGTTGACAACATAAAATGTGAAGTTGTCATATTTGTTACATTTATATTCTCCGCACTCTTCTGGATAGTAATAATAGTAACTCAATCCAGGCAGAACTGCTTTTCCTCTTGGGCACGATACTTGAGGGAATCTAATCCACATATAATCAAAAATTTCTTGATTACCTACATAAGTCCAATTCAACGGATTATAAAAATTAATTCCTTTGCAATATTTCGTATCCGAATTTTGGCAATCTTTTGGTTTAAATGTCTGTAAAGATGTTCCTATATGTTTGAAATCGAATCCAACATTCTTATAAATATAATCAGATCGATACTGATAGCTCAATGGATAAACAAGTTGAGGAGGACCGATAGCAAAATCTTTGATTGGTTTACCACCAATTTGGGATTCTGGATTTCCCCAAACTAGTGGTTGTGCCATTGACCAATTACAGATATAATTTCCTGTATCTTGTAATATTGCTATTGTTGCATCTGTTATTCTTTCATAATCATAACCTTCTATTTCCAATGTCATTCCTACATTTAAATCAGAATTGAATTTTGAAGCCTTTAAATGTGATCCCATTGTTCCTGAACCACCGCCATCTTCTATTTCGATGCCGGATGGACAATCATTATCATCACCTTCGAATGTTTCAACACCATAATGTTTGACTGCAAATTTGTGTGAATTCGGTGAAATCAAAAATGTGAAATTCTTTCCATATTTTGTCATCTTACAATGTGTTTGATTATAATCCCATAACTTTGTTGAATTCGGTTCATGATAATTTATATGGAATGATCCAAGTGCATGTGTTAATTCATGAAATGCAACATGTATGAAATAACTTGAACTTGAATTAAATTTTGATTCTTTATTTGATACATATGCATTATTGAATTCAATGTGTCCTGATGTAGGTCTATGATATTCATCATAACCACTATATCCTCCTTGTGCAAGTACAGAAGAAAAAACTTCGAAATATGATATATAGATTGTTAATTTGTAATCGTAATCTTTATTTGGAGTTGGACGGACTTTAATGAACTTTTGAGTAAATTCGATGAGATTATCGATCGTTTTGTAAAACTCTGTTAGGTTTTTATTTGTTATAAGATCAGATTCCTTGCATGTTATATTATACCATGAAAAAGGAATAACTTGTCCAACTTCATAACATGTATAATAATCTCTTTCTTTTCCTGTTATGTAATCGTAATTTAACTTGATTCTTATGTTTTTCCATTCTTCATCTAGTGATTGACGAGTTCCGTTTGGATAAGATGGTTCAAAAACTGGTTCTTCAGTGAGTCTTCTTCCATCAGGTCCAAATTCATTTTTGAAAAAAGAATGCTTGACACTTAAAATACTCAAGATCATAATCAGAAATGTCAAATTCATTCAAATTTAAATTGAATCGGATTTGGGTTAAATTATTATTTGCGTGTTAGGATATATTATCACATTCGTGATTATTGAAATTTTGAGAGAGCGGCTTTCGGTTATCAAACTATAAAATACAAAATCTGATTTAGGGTCCGAATCATTTTTTGGGAAAATCCATAGGAATTTTTTTGAGAATTGTTGCGGTAAAGTACCGAAATTAGTGAACGAATAGATATGAATATTTAACTCTCCAATTAAATGTTATACATCATGATTTTACGTCTTAAGTTTTAAATTTAAAAAAAATATTTCAGTAAATTTATAAAATTAAAAGTTTAAGTACAACAAAAACAAAATAGCATAAATGGACAATATTGTCTGAAGGCTCAATATTGAATTTCGAATAAAAAAATGTATTGTTTTAAAAAAAAAACTCTTAAATTATGCATCTGTATTTGCAACGACTTTGTTTCCAATTAGTGCGCAAAAATCAGAACTTTAATCTTTAGAAAGGTGAAATTAAATGGTATCATTTTATTGTAATTTCTTCAAACTTGGAATATACAGGAACCTACTTTCCCAACCCTTTGTAACTACTAAAAAAGATTTACTTGAAATAAAAAAGCAACGAATAAAGATTTTGAAGAATCATTGGACTTAAAGTCTCAAATTTTGTTTGGTTTTCTAATATTTGTAAATTCAGCTGAATCTGATAAGAAAAATCTTTTGATTTAATCTTTCTAACCTATATTTTCTTGACAGAAATTGCAAAACATCATGTGGCTATATTTTCAATAAGAATATGCACATATACTATTCTATATTGGCAGGTGTATGAAATAATTATAAAAAAGAAACGAATAACCTTTGAAATATATATTTAAAAATTTCAGAAGATCAACTGTAGAAATTTGAGAGAGATACAGGTCAATTATTCTGATCAATTAAAAGAATTTGATTTCATTGTGATTTAGCAGTTGCTTCATCCGAAAATTCAAGTCTTTATTTGACGATAATAAAATTTTCTGAGGGATTTTAATAATGGTTTCAACAATAATATAAATATCAAAATTGCATTGGTATAACAACTACAGTTATGATTTGATTATTTTTAATGCGATTTAACACATTATCGAAATAAGAAGATTTTTAGAAATCATAAAATAGCTGGTATCATTAATTATTAAATTATATTTTTAGAGTAGACTGTATTGTTTGACTGAAAAGCCTGATTTGAGGAAAAAGAAGCTGAATAACGTGAAACGTCAAGCTAATAGAAAGCGACAAGGCTTTAGCGAATACAAAAAATATACTACAAAATAGACTACTTTATTTTTTTAAATAGAAAACTCTATAGAAAAAAATAATAAAAACTATAGAAATAATAGCAAGGAGAATGGAGCATACTATGAGATTTGTTGAAATTAAAAGACAAATGAAACAATGATATTTAAAATAAAAATAAAATAATAAAAAAGTATATGCATTTTCTCTTGTTAATAATAACTAATATTGTATTTTAAATTGAAATATGAGAAGAAAAACCTGGAGATAGTTACCTAAGTGAAAAATGAAAACTAAATTGAATAGTATATGAAAACGAAGTTGCTTTGAATTAGGAATAATGAAGAAGTGTTTTAGATTTGGATCAAAAAAAAGGAAGAAAATAAAATCATAGGTAAATAAAGATAAGACTAATAATTGCAGTCTTTAAAGTAATTAAAATGGTAAAATAAAATTGATTATTATAAAAAAAAATATTAAGCATATTTAAGTGCTGAAAATGAATTATAAAGGCAAGGGGAGCTGCTTTGTGAAGTTTATGATTTATTTTGATTGTGTTTAAACTGAAATTCAGAAAGAAAAGAAGAACATTAAATGACAGTATAGAAAAAAATAAAGGAACTGAAATTTGAAAAGTAATACAAAAGTACAATTGAATGATTGAAGAAAGAAGAAGTTTTGTTGTTCCAAAAATATTTGAAACGAGTTTATACTTTAATAAATCAAAAATACTCTATTTACATTAAAAGCTTTGAATTGATGATATAAAATGGAAATGATATTAAATTTTAAATGAAGAAAGAGATATGTTGTTAAAGTTGATATACGGTATTATTGTTGTAAAAATGAGAAAACAGATAAATTGTTCAATAACATTTGGAGATAGAAAATTGGGATTAGAGTAATTTATGGACAAGGATAAAAACCGTTTGTTGTTATAGACCGAAAATAGATTTTTTCGGTTTTCTCTTCAAATAATTGAAAGAATGATACTATTATAGGTTTATTATATTATATAGCATATAATCATGCTATAGCCGAAAATTATAAGTTTTGAGAAGATTGAATATAACACAAATAAATTTGAATGTAAGTTAAATTGCTTGTTGTTTTTAATAGCTATTTAATGAGAAATCCAATATTGCAAAATTCAAATTGAATGATTGAAAGAACAGAAAAAGTCATTCTTTTCAATTTCGAATTTGTTTCATTGTATTTATAATTATATGGCAAATAAGATATTTAAACTTGATTTTTGAAGGAAAATTCACAAAATTGAATAAATTCAAATAATTTTTATTCAAAAATAAACTAGTTATTTGAGTTTAATACTAATTATCTATTCAAACTACAAAGTTTGTAATTTAAAATATTTTGTGAGATCAGCTTGAATTAATTCAAGGTTCTTTTCAATTAATATTAATGACCATATTACGCATTTTCGAACATTCTAAACCAAAATAATAAAAATGGAGACGAATGTTAAATTTGCTAGACATGGGGGAGTTGTCTGCAAAGTTTTAGCTCTTATCTCTAACAAAAAATTAATTTTTAAAAAAATGACCGAATACGTTTCACAGCGAGAAAAAAATAAAAGGCAAGATAGAATTTTCTAGACATAAAGAAGTTGTTTACCGAGTTTTAGCTCTTATCTCTAACAAAAAATTAATTTTTAAAAAAATGACCGAATACGTTTCACAGCGAGAAAAAAATAAAACTGTACACTGATTTTCATTTTCATTTCCAGTCACTTTACTTATTATTTTTTCTTTTTTTTCATTTTAATTATAAATTATTTCGTATTACGTTTATTTACGTTACCATTTTCTTTATTCTTTTGAATTCCATACTAGACACTTATAGAATATTTTGATTGTTAACGTACTTCATTAGAATGAATCCTTACAAAGGGTATGTCGATCGAATTTACCTAATTGGTATTTCCAATCAGATTGAAGAAGGTAAAATGACATGGGAAGAAGCTTGCACCCATGTTCCCATCGCCCCAACCCTTCAATCAAATGATTTCAAATATTTAGATGTTTCAAAATCTTTTTTACAAAATCAATTTAGCTTACAGAATATCCCATTGCCTAAAGGCAAGAAAGGTCGTAGGGTCAATCCCTACGACCAAATCAAAGCTCTTGCTGTGATACATGACCACTGGGCCTTTCCCTGTGGTCAAACAAAACAATGGAAACGTTTGAAATTACAACAAATTGATGTATCTTATAGAGAAGTACGCAGATACTTCAAAGAAAATCATTTCACCAAGACGCGATTAGAGCATGCCGGGCCAGAAACAGCAGTAAGATATTGGGCGCTTTCACCCAATCTTATCTGGCACGCAGATGTTCATTATTTTAGGGGTGTTCGTGGCCAATATATTTATGGCATAATCGACGATTTTAGCCGCAAAGTCCTAGCGTATATACAAATACCAGATATGCTGGCAGCGACGACAGCGAACGTTGCGGCTTCCGCCTTCATTGAATTTGGCGCCCCTTATTGTTTCTGGACCGACAACGGTTCAGAAAATAGGGGCGCCTTTCAAGATCTACTTGATCTTTGGGGCGTCCAATGGCGGCATACAGACTCTCATTCTCCCTACCAAAATGGGAAGATTGAGAGATTCTGGCCGCCATTGGAGCGCTGCAAAGCATTCAGGCTATTCCTGCCTTTATTTGGAGTACAATAATAACACACCGCATGAAGATCTCCCAATTAATCCATTAACCGGAACAAATTACACGCCAAATCAAATGTATCAGCTGAAACCGAAATACACAAATGCAGATACAGAAAGGTTGTGGCAAATATGGGATACAGATACAGGCATGACCGCTGTTGACACATTCACAGCGTAATAATAAACATAATTTTTTAATTTCATTTTTAACAAGTTTTTTTAAATGTATGTAATGAATAATTCATTAGAATATGATAATGCACATTGTAACAGAATAGAACAATCACCAAAATTTTTTTGAAATTAAAAAATAAAAGTAAAAAGTATAAAGTAATCTAACCGAAAAAGATATTTAAAGAATTTTGGAAAAAACAGAATAAGGATAATGATATTATTTTAGATACACAATCGATGTATTGAAGAATAATCCGGTAAAATGATGATATAAAATTAGATTATTTTACAAGTAGCTAAAAGAATAAAACTATAATATAAAATAAATGAAGTTTAATGAAACAATAAAGGTTAAATAAATAATAAAGATTTTTATTTTATATCAGTATTGAGAAGAAGTAACAGCTGACACTTGGAAGACAACTTCTTTATGTCTAGAAAATTCTATCTTGCCTTTTATTTTTTTCTCGCTGTGAAACGTATTCGGTCATTTTTTTAAAAATTAATTTTTTGTTAGAGATAAGAGCTAAAACTCGGTAAACAACTTCTTTATGTCTAGAAAATTCTATCTTGCCTTTTATTTTTTTCTCGCTGCTGTGAAACGTATTCGGTCATTTTTTTAAAAATTAATTTTTTGTTAGAGATAAGAGCTAAAACTTTGCAGACAACTCCCCCATGTCTAGCAAATTTAACATTCGTCTCCCATTTTTATATTTGGTTTAGAATGTTCGAAAATGCGTAATATGGTCATTAATATTAATTGAAAAGAACCTTGAATTAATTCAAGCTGATCTCACAAAATATTTTAAATTACAAACTTTGTAGTTTGAATAGATAATTAGTATTAAACTCAAATAACTAGTTTATTTTTGAATAAAAATTATTTGAATTTATTCAATTTTGTGAATTTTCCTTCAAAAATCAAGTTTAAATATCTTATTTGCCATATAATTATAAATACAATGAAACAAATTCGAAATTGAAAAGAATGACTTTTTCTGTTCTTTCAATCATTCAATTTGAATTTTGCAATATTGGATTTCTCATTAAATAGCTATTAAAAACAACAAGCAATTTAACTTACATTCAAATTTATTTGTGTTATATTCAATCTTCTCAAAACTTATAATTTTCGGCTATAGCATGATTATATGCTATATAATATAATAAACCTATAATAGTATCATTCTTTCAATTATTTGAAGAGAAAACCGAAAAAATCTATTTTCGGTCTATAACAATAAAAACCGTTTGTTGATTTAAATGAAGCATACAATTTAAAATTAAGAGGAAAAGGTTTGACATGTATTTTTATGCATATTTAAACCAATAATAATCAAGTGTATACATTCAATAATTGAACTTGAAAAAATTCAATTCAATTATTTGCTATATGATTTATTCAAAAACTCCACTATCATATATCTTGATGAAATATTAAAATCGACTTCTTCTCAAATATTATAAGAATTAGTGATATTGGTAATTATTAACTATATTAATGTTTTTCTAATTTCTCATAAAATATTTTTCGACAAAAAGTCATTTTCAATTTCAATTTATTTAATTGCATCTTTTTATAACGTACTTTTACAATTTTATCATGTAACTTTGCTGCACTAAATAAAAATATTTGTATTATCAAATTGGAATTGACTATCGTTTTGGTTCCTTTTCAGAACTTCTCAATTCTTATTTCAATGTTTCATGATATTTTCTCATATTTCAAAATATAATTTGTTACAATATAGAATTATCATGAGTTTTCAATTTATTGTAAATGAATTCAATCTTTTTTTCGATTTATCCAATATATTTTATATTACTATTTATTATTATGATATATATTTATCTTAAGCTTTTTGTAAAGTTTTCAATATTTTCTTAGTAGTTTTCTAATCAAAAAATCTTCGATGTTTGAATCTTCTTCTTTCCGGCAAAGTCCTAAACACTTTTCTCATGATTTTAAGAATCAGCTACTCAGATTGATTCAGTATTGCGATCAGAATAATACCCAATTTTTTAAAATGACCAAGTTATCGACATATTTAGGATTCCATAAACGACGTTTTTATGACGCAATTAATATACTTGATGCAATTGGATGTTGCACTAGAATGGATAACGATACTTTTCTTTGGAATGGTTTATCAAATGTTAATACATTTATTCAACATTTAGTAGAACAAAATAGTGTTTATTCTGAAAAACAAGAGCTCGCAAAGATATTACCAGAACAAGATGTTATAAACTTAAAGATTATGACACAACAATTTATATTATGTTTTATTGCTTTACAGTATCAGCAACTTAATATCAAAGAGGTATCTAATTATTTTTCAAGAAACTCAGATCATTTTAAAACAATTGTGTGTAAATTATATCAAATCACCCACGTATTAACCTCTATTGGTATTATTGATAAAACCAAAAAGTCAGGAGAATATAAAATTAGCGACAATCTAATTTTCCCTATGACAGATACATATCCCTTCTCAATACCCGCTCTTTTGAAAAGGCAGGTTCCATGGAATTATTGCTCCAAAGTAATAGAAGAAAGGAGAACAGAATATAGAAAATATCAAAATAAAGATCTTGAATAAAAATGTTCTATTGTTTGATTTACATAAAGTATTGAATTTTCCCACAAATGCAAGGGTTTTTTGGATTTTTTAAGTGAGTTTTACCTTTTTTTATTGATAGGATCGCCTGGAAAGATTTGTTTAATATCAAAAACAATAAAGTCGAATTTGAACTTTACTGAAGGAAGATAATATTTTCCAGATCAATACTATGGATAAAATGGAAATATTTTCATCCTTTTATAAAAAGTTAGATCGAATACAGTTTTGAAAACCATATTGCTTATTGGAATATGATGAGAAAAGGATATTATTTTTAGAGAGAAGATCTATATAAGAAATTATGATAATATTGTAAAGTTGAAATACAATTAAGGCATTCAAGTGAATTGATAATGGATTGAAGAAAGATGTGATAGATTACTAAATAAATAAGAAGATAATAGTTTATCCATGAAAAGAAAAAAAAAATTCGAAGAAAAATAAGATTAAACGAATGGTTTTGCTATATTTCTAACCTGCACTGAAACTTGGAATATTTAATGCATTATGGGTAAAAATCGATCAAAAAATTAGAAAATATTAATTATGAGGAATCTTGTTAGATATTTTTCAGATTGCCCTAGTAGCCTAGTGGTTATAGCGTGTGCCTCGTAAGCGCAAGGTCGCCGGTTCGACTCCGGTCTGGGGCATTAAATTTTTTCATAGCGATTTGTAAAATTTCAATTATTCTCATTATTTTTTTGAAATGATTTTTTTAGAAGATTTCTCACATATTTTGAAGCATATCAATGATGAAGTTACTGTTGACATACTCTACAATAATCACATTAATGCATATCTATTACTTTCACCCCAATCTGCTTCGATTCTAAAATTTAATGATTCAGAACCAGAAATCAAATCGACATTTAACTTTACCACTCAACAATTGCAAAATGATATCTTGTGCGCAGCAACATTTATTGGGAAATTATCCTTTGCGTGCTTAAGTTCAATGGGAAAAATATTTTATTTTGAAATTGGTAAACAATATAGTGTTAATTATGTCAAGCAAATAATGATCAAAGAAAATGTACACTTTACATCCATCTCATCCTACAATGGATTCATTGCTGCAGGGGATAACCAAGGAAACTTTCGACTGATATCAACAGAATCTGTAAATTCTGATAATTTTTGCATATCCATTAGTTTTAAAGTCTGTGAATGGCCAATTAAACACCTTTCTCTTAGTTCAAGAAAAGGAATTATTTTATGTGCAGATGGATCTACAAAATTATTCAGCATTGATCGAACCATACTATCGAATAGCAAATATGAACTGAAATCAGCCATAATTCATACTTCTGGAGTTTCATTGGTTGCTGCTTCTCCAAAATCTCCATATATCGCACAATATCTTCCTTCTGGAGTACTACATATTACAAATTTCAAAAATTTTGACCAAAAAATCAATGGTTGTCCTCAGATTTTTAGTTTTGCGTTCAGCAGTGATGGACAAACGATAATTGGTGCAACTCATGAAGGTTTCATTGCATGGTCATCACGTTGTCAACGATTAAGATATCTCACAAGTCGAGATATTGCAAATTCCAGGTGTATTTGCGCTTCTCCGTCATATTTACTTGCGTCAATTAATTCAGGAATCGCTGTTATTCCTCTTTTGATATCTCCCATGAATAGAAGTCCTCTCCTCTTTACAGGAGACAAAATAATTGAAGCAAGATCTTCAACAAATGGATGTATTGCATTATCACATCATCCAAAAGATGTTGGAACAATCATTAATTGTGCTTCCGGTGAAGATGGTCGCTTAATTGCAGTTGTTGGCCAAAATGGATTTTCATTATTTGCCAAAGCAACTGCTAATTGGCATACACCTATTATCAAAGGAAGGTACCAACTAAAAGATGTTGATTTCATGGATAAAGTTCTTTGTATTACAGCTTTATCACTAAATGAAGTCAAATATGTCCTTTTACTTGCGAAATCAACAGTTACTCGCAATCTAGAGATCATCAAAACGTTCCCTCTTGATGGATGTCCAGTTTCCATCAGAGCTTCCTCAGAATCAGTTTGTGTTGCTTACGGAAAGACTGTAATCATGGTAGATGCGCTATTTAATCAGACAAAAATAGTATTAAAAGAAGATATAATATGCGCAGAACCTGTCTCTCCAACAACTTGTGTAGTTTTAACCAAAGATTTTAATTTACTTTATTATGCAAACGAAAAGGAAACAAAACTCCTCTCAAACATAATGTCCTTCTTCATTGACTCGAAGAATAAGATAATCTTCGCTCACAACGAATTCAAAATGCTTGCAGCGAAAATTCCTGAATTTGATTTCGTAACAATCAAAGAAAGTGAAGATATACCTATCGGAATCATTCCTGACCTGTTCGCGCTAGTAACTATTGAACCAGGTTCCACTTTACCACTTCATCCAGTTCTGACTTACTTCTTCAACAAAAAATTGATCGAGGAAGAAAAAAGTGTCAAAATTATTTCGATGTCACCTTTTTCACAAACCATCTTAATGCAAATTGCTGCAAATGCGAGTAGAGGAGGTAACATAGGAGAAGTAATTCCTTTTCTTAAGAAATTCCCTCAAAATTGGCCAATTATCATAACAGCCCTTTTAAGAACGCTGGAGCCACCAGACAGGGAAGAAGCGTTCAAGATAATTGGTCGTCCAACAGATTTGTTCTGTGAATTTACCCAATGTAAGATTGAAGAAAATAATAATCAAGATGCAAATATTTCTGAGCGAATTCCCCATTTCATATGTGAAGAAAAGCCGAATGAAGAATGTTTGCATAGAGGATCTTTGGTTTTAGAATTGATTTTTGCAGGAGATGGCGTTCCTCCTGCTCTTTCTGCAGCATTGTTCTTGTTGGAGAATTCTACTGATGTTTCTGATGATTTCCTTAGAGCTGTAAATGTTTTTGTTGCTGCTGCAAAGGAAATTCCAGAGAAACCTCAAGGCTTGACCGATTTAATCGAGAAAGCTGAAAAGTTATTGAATAAATGATAGCTAATTATTTTGTTTTATGCTTGTAATTAATAAAATGTATGAAATTTCACATAATATTTTGAGATTTTCCTTAAAAATTGGATAATTTATTAATAAATAGAGCTTCAATGATTTTAAGTTTTTGTATATATATTCATATTCGAAAAACTAAAGATAATTTCCAAATTTCGAGATTTGGAATTTTCATAAGCATAATCAAATGTAAAAAAGTATGTAAATATATCTTAAGCAATGTGAGTAGGTTAAAAATGTCTTGTAAATATTGTATATGTAAAACAAATAATTTTATAACTTTAATTAATTACAAAAATACTAACAAAACGTCTTAAATTGGATTGTCAGGTACAATAACTGTCTTAGATTCACCAGTTTCTGCATCAAGATATGACATTTCGTTGGAAACTTTTGGATACCTTTTAACATTCTTTGGAATTTCAGTTGGATCACCGGATTTAACGAAGACGAATATGGAGTAAAGCCAAATAATGTCCCATTCGCTGTAAGTCATAGCAGCTCCAGAGAAATCTTTTGTTTTCTTTGTGAGAAGCTTAATATATAGATCCTTGGCTTCTGGATTTGAATTGCAAGCCTCGTAATAAAACTCTTGGAAACCTTTATTGTAAACTAATTCGCAATTCTTGGCTTTGAAAAGATCTATTAAGACTTTTGGATGAACAAGGTATTCTTCGATGCTATTGACAGCATTCTTTAAATAGAAAATGTAGCCAGCGCCGAATGGTGGAATATTTTTGAGATCAAAGTTTCTTTTTGCGAGGTAGAGATCATTTGAGATCGTATCACTCGTTTCATCGCCTGGTGGGTATCTGTCGTATCTTTCTCTGAATAATCTGACGAGTCTGCATGCGTTGACTGTTGTTATTGAAATATATCTGCCGGGAAGTAACTGATCTGTTAGGTTTGCAACAGCTTTTTCTGCCATTTCTTGAGACTTGAAGGCATAATGGAGAGCAAACTGGCATGAAGAATAATGGAAAGTGATTTTTGGTAAAAGAGATTTGAGATTGCAGTTAAAAGAGTCGCCAATAATAAACTGAGCTTTAATTTTGTCTGATAATGGTTTGTATTTTCTGTAACACTCTTTAACAGATTCATCAGATATATCAGCAAATGCGATAAAAGCTGGATTTTTTAATTTGTATTTTGGTATATCGCCTCCTTTTCCACAAGCAAGATCTAAAATGTTTGCATTTTGCTGTGGGCAGTATTTGAGAATTAGCCAACTTTTTACCCAGTTGTTAAATTCACGAAGATGAAATGTAGAAGATTCTGCTCTTTCCTTAAGTGATGTTGTTTTGGTTAGATTATATCCATCTGCTACGGTATTAACAATGAAATCCTTTATAGACATTTGAAGTTTACAAATAGAATAAGTTTACATGTCAAATATTACTTGCTCAAAAGAAATAATGCACTCTTGTGCAAGAAATAGCATTCTTAGGGGAATATCCATGTGTTGTGAACATAGACTTTGAAAAAAATTAACTTGATCTGCTTTATCAGAGAAATATTTTACTTTATATTACTTAATTCATATATTTTCATTGCTTAATTAAGCATGTATGAGATAAAAATAAAAGTCCGCTATATGAATAATATTGTTACGTAGAAAATAATCTTTTATGGATTAAAAAATCATTTTGAGCATTAATTGATGCAAATTGTATTGTTAATGGTTCTAGTAAATTGTATTTTAAGTCACATATAGGTGCATTACAATGAATGAATATGGAACTGATTAAAATAGGTTAAAATATTATACCTGTTTCACAAAAGAAAATATATGCATATATGGGATTCTATAATGCTAAAAGAGTTAGAGAATTAATGAAGGGAAACTCGACAATTGAAGAGTTATAATACAATATCATAACAATGATCTCTTGGATAAAAGTATTTGTTTATTGATGTTTTACATATGAGCACATTGATTGAGATGTTCTTATCGCACTATCCACAAAGATTCAAATGGAAAATAGCAGATTCATGAAATTTAATTTATGATAAATTCTTTTTCATCTGTAGTATATTATTTTTAATCACTAGAAATATGAAGTTGTAAAAATGTCTTACATTTGTCACCTTTTCTTGGCAATTTTGAATTTTTTATCTCTTACCTGCCCTGAACATTATTCTATATAACGGATTGATGATTCAAAGTCTTTTTCAGGTTGAATCCGCTTCCCCTATCGATTTTGCATACTTTACAAATTAATATTGAATAGATACCAGGTCGATACTTTAATTTTGTATATCTCATGTAATGCAGAACTTTCCAAAATTTTCAATTGTGAAGAAAAAAATTCAATCAATTTGGCTTCATCTTTCATGGCAACACCCCATAACTCTGCTCAGGTTGGCGATTTCGCTGAAACAGTCCTCATGTGCGGTGATCCACTCCGCGCTAAGCTCATTGCTGAGACATATCTTGAAAATCCAAAGCTTGTCAACAATGTTCGTGGCATTCAAGGCTACACCGGCACATACAAGGGAAAGCCAATCTCTGTCATGGGCCATGGTATGGGCTTGCCATCAATCTGCATCTATGCAGAGGAGCTTTACTCCACATACAAGGTCAAGACAATCATCCGTGTTGGTACATGCGGCGCAATTGACATGGACATCCACACACGCGATATCGTTATCTTCACCTCTGCTGGTACAAACTCCAAGATCAACAGAATCCGCTTCATGGATCACGATTATCCAGCCACAGCATCTTTCGATGTTGTTTGCGCCTTAGTTGATGCTGCTAAGGAACTCAACATCCCAGCTAAGGTCGGTAAGGGATTCTCAACAGATCTCTTCTACAATCCACAAACCGAACTCGCACAGCTCATGAACAAGTTCCACTTCCTCGCTGTTGAAATGGAATCTGCTGGCCTCTTCCCAATTGCTGACCTTTATGGCGCAAGAGCTGGCTGCATCTGCACAGTTTCAGATCACATCCTCCACCATGAAGAAACAACAGCCGAAGAACGCCAGAACTCCTTCCAAAACATGATGAAGATCGCACTTGAAGCAGCAATCAAATTATAAGGACATTTCATTAGGGCAATCTAATGATTGGTCCTCGGATCTAAACTATTATCACCGAATTACTTTTAATTTTTAACCTTTTTAGTGATCGTTCGTTTTCAAATAAATATACCATTAATAAATGTTAGAAAAATGATGGATAAATTGTTTCAAACTAAGTTGTATGTAATTTTTTATTCGCTTATGCTTTTGAATCGACATAAATTTGTAAATACATGGATTTTAATTTTTATTTTAGTGCATACTTTAACCATTAGTTCACTATTCTTAATATAATTTAGTTTATATGATTTTGATTGTAGATTTATGATAGATGTTGCTATTTTTGAGGATATATTTAGAATTTTTTCCTTATAAATGTTAATTCACGATATACATAGTGAACATGCATAATTTTGATGCTAACTACCTTATCATTACTTGACTATTTTCTCCAAAAAAAATCGCAAAATAATAAAATTAATGCAAAACATAAGAATTTTGTCATTAAATATTGCAAAATGTAATTTTTTTTGAAAATTAAATCTCTAAAATCATATTAAATTATGTGAATAGATTATTGTTATATGTTGAGATCTCTTCAAATCTAATTCATGAAATATTTCAAATGATATTTTTTAAAATTTTCAAATAAGAATACTTGAAACAACCTTTTATCCTGAATACAAAGGATATTTCATTAAAGTTAGCTCGAAAATTTGACGACTAGAAAAGATCATTTTTTTGTCTGAGGACAAAAACACAATATTAGAGAAAGTTCGAGTTGCCTTGTAAATTGTTTCAATTGAATCAGAAATTTGTCATTTTTGGAAAATGATTCTAAAATTCCTCAAGACATTTATCAGAACAACTTTTATCTACATAGTAACGATGTTTTCCCCATATTATTTACTGACTTTCTTCGAACTCGTCATTTTCGCCTTCACTTTCTCTGATAAAACAAAATTTAACGATTTTTACGATTTTCTTTTAGAGTTACATACTCAGATGACGCCAATTATTGTTCTTTTCTTTCTTCTGTTCCCTTTTCTTCAGAATATTTTCAAATTCAGGGTGGTCCCCAAGACTGGATACAGAAAACAGAAATTCAATGTTCCAAATCGAGCAATAGCACTTATATGCCTCGTTTCCATCTACTCATTTAAAAAATACATGTATTTTTCAATTGGACTCTCAATATGTGGAACAATTGTGTATTATTTCGATGAACAATCAGACTTACCTGAAATAGCATTTACATTTGCACTTGAACTCTTAATGTTTTTCTTGAGCAAAATTTTACAAAATTATTTCAGAATTGCGTTCTTGGTTCCATCTATTGTCTTATCATTAGCTTTTCTATTCATCAAACGATTTCAATTATTACTTACACCAAATGATTTCACAGAATTTATAGTAACGCTATTCCAACAGTTTGGTGTTTTACTTTTCGAAATTGTTGTTAGCTACGGTCCAAGGAGACACGGAATTACAGGATTTTTAGCTTTATTCCTTCATTACGCAATTTATGTTGCATCATTTTATGTTAAATCCTCCATTCACTACCCAGCTCAAACGAAAAAGGAGTAATTATCGTATTATTTGTTTTTGTCGTTACCCTTTAAAATCTTCTATTTATTACTTTATTTGAACCAATGATTTTTCAAAACAGAGTAATTAAATAACCCAACAACCTATAATCTCCGCCAAATGATTAGGATACTTCTTATTTTAATCAAATAAGATTATATAAAAAAATTATTTTAATTTTGTTGCATATGAATGAAAACCAATGCAAAATAGTATTTAAATATAGGTATAGTGTAAAAATAATCTCTAGTTTTATGTTTTTATTGTAATTTAACTCTATAAATTATATTTAGTCTTTATTTTCTAATGGATCTGGTCCTTCATCTTCCATATCTTGGTTACCAAATTCAGGATCATCATTATCAGCGTTATCGAAGTATTGCAAAATGATATCAATTTCTGTTGAAATTCCAACGACATTATCCTCATCTTTGATGTTCAAAGGATAAAATTGAAGTAAATTGAAGTTGTCGATCAATTCGCAAATCTTTGTTGTCAATTTATCAATTGATGTTCCTTTTTTAACAGAAGAACCAAGGGACATTGTATCCATTTCTGTAAATAAATCGAGAGTATCCTTTTGCTGGGGAGAAAGAAGATCGCATTTTGAAAGAATGTTAAAATGTGGAATTTCTAACATGGTCATTGCAGAAAGGGCAACAAGACCACCACTGAGGAATTTCGATGGATCAATCATGAACTGTGAATCAAGAAGAAAGACAGCACAAAGATGGTAGCCTTTTTCTTGAAGCATAGCAATAAGTCTAGGAAGGATATTTAAGTGGGAGAAGAGTTCGATTTGTCCAGGGAAGTCTATGAGGAGATAATCGTATTCGTGCTCTCCAATTTCTGTATCAAACCATTCATAATCACTAACAACTTGCTCCATACAGTAAATAAGAGCGCCATTGGGTCCAAAACCGTGCTTGTTCATGACTTCTTTGACATTAATAGCTTCACGAATATCAATTACTGGGTCATAAAATAATTCATCGGCTGCTGGATCAAGATTTACACAATGAACAACACGCTTGATTGTTTCGTAGTGCTCGGCCATTCTTCTTATGTATGTGGACTTGCCGGAGCCCGCAGGGCCCATGACAATTTGTGCAAATCTTGTCGACATGGAAAAGTGAAAAATTTTAAAGACAATTCTGACAAATTACATGTCAAAAAATCAAATTTAAATGTTTTCTGGCAAATGATTCATATAGCAAAAGAATCAAATCAATGAAAAAATTACTTAGCTTCCAGAGAAGTGCATATTTTCACGTTCGATTTCCAAATACAAATAGATTCTTTTGAATTAATGTCAGCCAATTTAATTTATAAGCAGAGTTTGAAAAGTATGTCAACATTGGTTAATGTGAATAAGGGCAAGATATGGCGATGATTATTTGAGTTGTGAATCATGAAAATGCCAAACATTGAGAAAAAGCAATGTGAATAACTAGATGTGTCACTGACTAAAATCATTATGGTAAGTGAAGCAAGTTAGATTACGATTAATTTCGAACGAAATTTGAAAGAGCTAACTAATTCCGATCTTTCAATGCTAAGCACAGATCCCTGAAAGGGAACAAAATCGATTAATTTCGAACTTTCATTATTATAGTAAACCAATTTACAGTTTTTTTCAGAGTGTTGAAATTGAAAAAATTGACATATAAATTTCATTTGATAACGATTTTATCGATATTTCAATTATCTGAAAGCAACTGTAATAAACAGAAATTCATCAAAAGTGACAGCTCTCAATTTTTTGACATTTGTAAATTCTAAATTGAATGAGAAAAATGAAATAATACTAAGCATAATACAATATTCTAGATTTAATTATAATTAGGAAAAAGTTAGTTTTGAGAGTACTTTTCATAGGCATATAGAATGAAATCTTCTGAAAAATAATATCACATAAACTCATATTATTTTCTAATATATAACTATTTTATATAAAAATCAAATTCAATGATCTTAAAAGCGAAGGATAAACCTCAAAATTTACGAATATAATGAGTGGGAATATAATGCTTATCTATCATAAAACCATATGAAATATCAATTTTTGCTTTACGCCTAATTTTTGACGACAATTAGCAAAAAATGTTAAATGTTAACACTCAGTCCATTTGAATATGAAAAATAAAATTGACTTTGATTAAATGTTTTTATTTATCATGCAATTCTTCTTGCGACCAAAGATTTGAATAAAATTTCAAAAAATAAGATAGCTTAAAAAATAATATACGGTAGTGTTTACTAATAAATGAATAGTATATAAATTCTATTAAAATGGATTTGATCCAAAAAAATATAAAACCAAAAATAATTGTTATAATTTAAATGAAGAAGTAATTTAAAACGATTTTATTTATGATCAAATTTTATATATTTTTTTGGATCAAATCCATTTTAATAGAATTTATATACTATTCATCTATTAGTAAACACTACCGTACATTATTTTTTAAGCTATCTTATTTTTTGAAATTTTATTCAAATCTTTGGTCGCAAGAAGAATTGCATGATAAATAAAAACATTTAATCAAAGTCAATTTTATTTTTCATATTCAAATGGACTGAGTGTTAACATTTAACATTTTTTGCTAATTGTCGTCAAAAATTAGGCGTAAAGCAAAAATTGATATTTCATATGGTTTTATGATAGATAAGCATTATATTCCCACTCATTATATTCGTAAATTTTGAGGTTTATCCTTCGCTTTTAAGATCATTGAATTTGATTTTTATATAAAATAGTTATATATTAGAAAATAATATGAGTTTATGTGATATTATTTTTCAGAAGATTTTGTGTTCTTCTTCAAAATTTTATTTTTTTATTAAAAAGAATCTTTACAAAATATACATTTACTTTAATTAATATTTAAAAACGTGCTCTATCAAAGGTTCCAAAAATTCAATATTTTAGCTTTTCTGAGGTGTCACTTTTGATGAATTTCTGTTTACAACACAACACTCATCTAGAGGACATTTCTAATATTATGTACCTATTTTTGGGAGACTGTCAGGATTGAATACTTTCTGAGAATTTTTCAACGTGCTGCGAATAAATTCTTTCTTTTTAAAATAATAGCAATGAAGTTTAATATAGGTAGGATATCACTTGAAAAGTGCCAACAATTTTTAGACTTTTGCTTTTTTAACTAATACCTTATTGTTTATATGCTCAGGAGCTATGTATTTTCGATTTATCTCAGCAAAACGATATATATAGCTCGCGAGCCGACCATTGATGGTTCAAAAATGACAATATCATTGGAATCTGACCTTATAAATCAAGCAAAAATCAGCTATCTCATTGCCACAAAGCATATAGATACGTTAACATTAACAGGAGATGATATTAAAGCATTAAACCAATTCAATTATTTTAAAAACGTTAAATATTTTATTCTCGATGCAGGCGGTGTTAAAGATTTACCAGCAAACCTTTTCCAAAATTCGCCAAATATAAGAAAGGTAGTACTCCATAATAAAGTTACAGCAATTGGAGAAAGTTGTTTCATGGATTCAAGTTTATCAGAAATAAATCTCGATGATGTCCAAACAATAGGTCTCAACGCTTTCGCCAAATGCTATAACTTAAAGGAAATTCGATTATTGAAATTGCAATCAGTAGATAATTACGCTTTTACAAATTCATCTGTATCTTCCATAGTTATAGGTGATGATCTAACTGAGATCGGAAATTACTTCGCTTCTAACTGCTTTTTTCTAAAATCTGTTACAATAGGTAAAAATGTCCAAAAAATAGGCGACGGAGCATTTAACTCTTGTTCTAACCTGACAGATTTTCCATTTTCTACAATTACTACTATAGGAAACTTCGCATTCCAAAGAACGAGTCTTATAAGTCTCGAATTAACTAATAAAGTTACTATTGTTGGCCAATACGCCTTTGCTTTCTCAAAATTAACCTCAGTAACATTTGCTAATGAAGATACTCCTTGCACATTAGGCAAATATTGCTTCTACAGATGCCAATACTTAACATCTGTTTCAATTTCATCGAATTACAAGCTAAGTGACCATCTCTTTGAAGAGTGTATGAAACTAGAATCCATAGCAATCAATCATTCTCAGGTTCCGCAGTACTTTGCCACAGGATGTTTCGCATTAAAAACGTTTACCTCACAAAACCTTGTTAGAGTTAGAAGATATGGATTCTATATGTGCGAAAGCCTCACAACAATTGACCTTTCAAACATGATTCAGATAGAAATTTATGCTTTTGCTTATTGTACAAATTTAACGATTACAGAATGGCCACAACAGTCACAAGCTCTATTTTATCTATACCCATCAGCATTTATGTACTGTCCCAAGATCAAAATCTCTTATATCCCAGATTTTTACAGTTTATCAAACGGAGTTTTTCAAGGATGCACAGGTATTGAAGAGATAAAAGTGAAAAACTCAGCACTTCCTGGTGCCATATTCCAAGGGTGCACAAATCTCAGGAAAGTAGTTTTAAGAAATATGAGTGTCATATCAGGCTCAGCATTTGCTTGCTGTCCTAATCTTGTATCAGTAACAATAGATGAATCCGTAAATGTTATATTCGGATCCGCGTTCGCATCGTCAGGACCGATCGAAATGTTAGATTTGAGTAATATGGATCAGGTTTTTCATTTAGCTTTCAAGAATTCAGGTGTTAAAGCTCTTAAGTTCTATAAAAAACCTAATCTTGTAGGAACACCTTTCGATTCTTGTCCCAATCTCGAGAAAATTATACTCGGCCCTTCTTGGAATTCATTCGAGCCTCTCAAATTTTTCAATTGTACTAACCTCACAAATATTGAATTAATTGATAACACAAATTTAACGGTTGTTGACGGTATTCTATACAATTTTGATATGTCTGTTTTATATTATTATTTTAGTGCATCTCATAGAGAAGAATTTTCAATCCAATCATCAGTTGTAAATATTCAGAGCTATGCATTTTGTAATGCTCTCAATATTGACAAACTGATAATATCCAATTTCGCTTATTTTTCCGAGCGAGCTTTCTATAATTGCACATGTATTCAAGAACTAGAGTATAATATCAAGACAAAACCAGATTATAATGCAAAGACAATGGCTGGAATCAAGTTTGAACCCAGTTTAAGCGATATGATGTTCATGAACTGCATGAATCTTAAGACTGTTAACGTTATGACTGAGGTTTTATCGATTGGAGCAAATTGTTTTGCAAATTGCCAAAATCTAGAAACAGTAACTTTACCAACTATATGCGCTAGTTGCGGAGATGGCGCATTCTGTAACTGTACTTCGCTAACAGAGATGGATTTCAGTCATATGTGTCACATTCCTGCCAATTGCTTCCAAGGATGCACAAAACTTAGTGATGTAAGCTTATCGAAGACAGTTTCTGATATTGGAGCAAGCGCTTTTGAAGCAACAGCAATTACCGAAATTGAAATTCCGAATTCGGTCATTGATTTAGGTTACTCTTGCTTCAGAAACTGCATGAAATTAAAAACAGTCACTCTTGGTCTTGGATTGACCTCAATTCCAGGAGATGACGGAAATGGAAACTTAGTAGGATGGTTCTTTGGATCATCCATAGAGATTTTAGTTATTCCTAACAATATCATTGAAATTTCACCTTTTGCATTCATCAATTGCAAGAATATTCGTATCAGATTTGTTGATAAAGAGCATCCACTGTTTGTTATCCAAGATCAAGCCTTAATTGACAAGACAAGTGGTACATTGATCACAACAATCGGAACTCTACCTCAAGTTTATCGAATTCCTGAAACTGTTTCGATTCTTGGTCCATTTTCGATCAATCCATACATAGAGAATGTCAACCTATCAGGAATAAAGGTTTTTGACAAGGGATTTGGCTCACCAATCATTGAAATTCCTGGTAGTGTCAAAACCATCAATAAAGACTCTTTCACTCTTAATACATACATGTATACACTTTGTTATGAAGGTGAATACGGTCAATCAGCTACTTTGTCCAATAATTTTCTTGTTAATTCCATTGTCACAACAAAATACGGTAATCAAAAGTTATTTGACGCATTTCCAGAAGTAAGAAGTTGCGATGAAGAAATTCCCAAGCAGTTTAAATACAGATTTATCTTGGGATGGACACCAGCAGAAATTGCCTTGTTAACTGTTTCAATTATCTTTCTTGTGGCTATAATTAGTATTGGTATTACAGTGCTTGTACTTACCTGCAAGAAGAATCGCTGTAAGACTGAAGCTATGCCATAATTTATATATTATATTTTTTTTGTTTTTTATATATATTGTTTATTGTATATTTTATATAAACATACTATTTCTATTATTCATTTTTTCAACTTTTGAAATCAATCTTCATATCATTCAAAATTTCATGTTTTATGATGATGTTTTCCATATTCATTTGAAAATTCCTGGGGTTCTAATAAATATTTTAGCTTTGCCATTCAAATACCTTAAATCATTTTCAGTTGATATTTGATCTTAAATGTTTTCAAACTTAGCAATGATCCAATCTCTATAAGGGTTTACTTAATTGTCAAAGAAGAGTTTTCAATTTTGTTACATGGAAAATAATTTTTAAATTACAAATCAAAGATATCAATAAATTCGGATGTCATAGCATCTAATTCTGGCATAAAACAGGAAAGTTCTTCTGTGCATTGCTTCTCTGTAGTAATATTGAGACTTGGATGGTTCTCATATTGTGGCTTTTGTTCAACTGGCTTTACAACAGGGCTACTTTCAGAGTATTGCTCAAATTCTTGTTTATGCTTTGACCTTGACATTGCCTGCTTGCTTGTTTTATAAGAAACAGCTTTACCTTTGCTGACCAATAAGGCATATCTGTTTTTAATATTAACCTCTGATCTTGTTGGGAAAAATGCAACTATTTGTGACCATCTTTGCCCAATTATTTTCACTTTATCTATGAGCAATTTATCTTCATACTGAGTCCATGGTCCATTTGACAAGGATGGCGATAAATAATTCATGTATCTTTCACGGCATTGTCTTGTTTTCTTATTTTCCATATACATTGCAACTCGCTTCCAATTGTGGTCTCCGTAAAGTTTTATCAGTTCAATTAATTTCAAATCATCTTCCCTTGAGAATTTAGTCTTGTGATGGCGAGCTCTGACTTCCTGATGATCATCAGATGTCTCTTCGAGCATAAATGCAATGAATGGCTTTAAGGGTCCACTGTAAAAATTGAAAGTCTCTCAAAATTGAGAGGCAATTTGCAAATAATCGTTATTGTCTTTTTTCGAAAATCCACTTTTCCTAATGTTCTGATTAATATTTTGTGAATGCAATAATGATGTATATGTTTTTGTAAGATGGTAATATATTCTATAACTTCAAATCGGATAAAAATTGCAAAATCGGCGAGTTTTATAAGAACATGATTTTTTCGAATTTTTTCGCTTTTGGATGCGTGTTTTGAAAAATAGATATTTTCGAATTTTAATTTTATCTTAAGTATAAGTTTTATATTAGGAATTTTTTTGACCTATTTCCAATCATTAATTCCGATGTTTTTTTTAGGAATTTATTTGAGAAGAAATTAGGAATTTCGCTTTTATGCTATTACAAACTAATATTATGATGCATGTAGTTTATATTCATTGAGGCCAATGCCGGGATATCTGAGGGGGGCACAAACTTGCCCAGTGAGGTGAAACTCCTTGCTTTTTTTTTAAAGCTTCTTAACTTAAATCATGGAATGTCTCAAAGACAAAAGTAGCATACAGCATGTAAAGCTAAAGAAAGATAATCATAATTAATACCTTAATTTTTAATATTACGCATTTTTAGGTGCAAAATTTAAAAACATTCTAATACAATAGAGCAGTTTCCAAAAGTAGCATACAGCATGCAAAGCTAAAGAAAGATAATCATAATTAATACCTTTAAAGTTTAAAATCTTGATTTTTTTAAAATCAAATATTTATAACTTTAATACATACAGCTTAAACCTTATACTTGTTTTCTCTTGTGAGAAAGCAATCTTACAAAGCTAACAATCCTAAAAAATAAAGAATTAAAATTTAATAATTTAATCTAACAAAATTTCTCTCTTTATCCTTTTGCACTCTTTATATGCAACTCAAATCCATCATATAATATTCCTATAATACTCTTGCCTCAAACAATGACGAACAAACTGCTATTCTCATTTAATTACAGACCAAATCTATTCAAATTTCTGAATTTTTAATTTTCATTTCAATTTCAAATGGAATTAGAAGAAGAAACTATCTTTACTGTTATGGATCTTTGTAAATTTGGAGTTAAACAAGAAATACAAGCACAGTATGGATATGGTGAACGTGTCAGGAAAGAAAGATCTCAGATTTCATTCCACTGCAAATATCCAAAATGTCCTGCACATTTTAATGTTGCAATCTTGGATCAAAATAAATACAAACTAATCAAAATAGTTGAAGAACATGATCATTCCGCCCCAAATGACAAAAGTCAATATTCGTCTGTCTTTTATCGCAAATATTTAGAACATTACTTCCAAACAGATGACAATCAAAGAGCGATAGCACAGCTAAATGCATTCAAAGATCTTGAAATTCCTCTTACAGGTCCGTCCATTCCAGAGATGTACGCTCAAAAACCACGTGCAATCAAACGATTTGCAGAGAGAATACATGCTCTTCAAACTAGATATTCTCCTGACGATGTTGTGTCATTGCAAATCTTTGTTCAGACAGTACAAGAAGAATCTCCAGATGATCTCATTGCATTTGAAGTCTCAGACAATAATATGTGTTTCTATTACGCGCCTTTTGAAGGCAAAGCTTATGCGCATAGTATCAAGACATTTCATATAGACAGCACCTATAAATTGTTGCGATCAAACATTCCATTGTATGCATTTACTGGCAAAATCAAAGATTTTCACATTTTCCCTTTTTTATATTTCTTTTGTCAACCAGACACTTATCAAAACATTCAAGTTTGCGTGTGCGCCTATCTCAGATGGGTAACAATTGAGCCAGAATACATTAGCATGGACTGTGCTCCACAGATAGCTCAAGCAATAGAAGAAAGCATTCCACAAGCTCAAATACTTTGGTGCGGAGTACATGTTCTTCGTGCAATTCTTCGCAAATCAAATAAGTTTTCTTCTCAAGAAAAATTTGAACAATTCTATAATTTGATGAAGGATTTAGTCTTCAAATTAGATGCAGAACATGAGGAAGAAGCAAATGCTGCCTATGATCAAGTTCTGGAGTTGCTCGACACAGATCCAACAGCATCTCAATACTTTAACAGACAATGGCGTTACAACATATCAAGATGGATTGCTCGTGACAGGCGTGAAGGCGACGCAACTAACAATATTGCCGAAGCTCATTTTAGAACACTCAAACATGACTATTTTCCTGATCGAAAAAATCTCAGAATTGATGATGTTATTATAGAAATTTATACAAAAGTGATATCATCTTTCGTTATCAAACTCAAAATTGATCAAAATCCAGCAGATGACCGTGTCATTAGGATCATGGAAAAAGCAACTAACGCAGAAATTGATGTAAAAAGACAAAGAAAAATCGTGAGTATTTCAATGTTCAATAGATTGCTCAATGCTGTTAGTGATGACTCAATAGATCCCACTAAAATATATCCTACCTTGAAAGTATTATTACAAAGAACTCATTTTATTTAATTTTGATTTTAATTTTAGATTAAATTATTAAATTTTAATTCTTTATTTTTTAGGATTGTTAGCTTTGTAAGATTGCTTTCTCACAAGAGAAAACAAGTATAAGGTTTAAGCTGTATGTATTAAAGTTATAAATATTTGATTTTAAAAAAATCAAGATTTTAAACTTTAAAGGTATTAATTATGATTATCTTTCTTTAGCTTTGCATGCTGTATGCTACTTTTGGAAACTGCTCTATTGTATTAGAATGTTTTTAAATTTTGCACCTAAAAATGCGTAATATTAAAAATTAAGGTATTAATTATGATTATCTTTCTTTAGCTTTGCATGCTGTATGCTACTTTTGGAAACTGCTCTATTGTATTAGAATGTTTTTAAATTTTGCACCTAAAAATGCGTAATATTAAAAATTAAGGTATTAATTATGATTATCTTTCTTTAGCTTTACATGCTGTATGCTACTTTTGTCTTTGAGACATTCCATGATTTAAGTTAAGAAGCTAAATTCTGAAGTTTACATGATCCTCTCGTGTGCACCCTTAAAAAAATGCAAAAAAATTGAATACTTTACTGGTTGGGCAAATTTGTCGCCGCCCCGGGATATCTTGCATTAAAAAAAATTCAAAGAATTGACAATTAGATAGCACAAATTTAATTCTCTAGACAAAGTATTATTGCTTATATATTCAAAACATTATCCTTAGTTTTGATATGTTGGCCAAAAATTTTTGTGTTATTTTTTGTGTTTAAGCATAAATTATGTATTTACTTATGAAGGATAAGCATTTTATTCATTGTCATAAATATGTACCATAACAAATTGATAAAATTTTAAAAAATTGTGTATTTTAGCGGGTATTATTCTGGCCAATGCCCGTTGTTACAAGATTTAATATTAACCATATCAATAGCAGACTCAATGTAAAAATTTAGATATATTTTGTTTTCATTATTCAAACTTTAATAAATTTTAGTATAATGAATGATTTTGTTTCGTGTATGATACAGAAATGAAAAGCTTAATTAATATTATTTTGCATTTTTTCAAGAATGTTAGAGTATATCTACATTAAAAAATCAGATTCGAACTGCGATACTGCATCAAATTGATGCACATCTTATAAGGATCTCAAAAGAGTAAAGTTAATTTTTTTGAGTTTTTTTAAGTTTTGGGCCTTAGTAAAACACCATCTCGAGCAGTATTTTTGGGACGACGATAGGCCTTATTTGGCCTTACAGTGGACCCTTAATTAACCTTATATCACAGAATTTTGAGTAACACTCAAATTGAATTTTATGAGTTATTTTATTTTAGTACATGCAATTCGTAATTTTTAATGAATATTTATTTGAATGCATTCAAAACTATATTTGAAAGGATGTAAAAATATTCATCGAGTAGTTTCATTTATATTGATGTTATCAATCCAAATACACAAAAAAATTTAAATTGTTTCGCCATTTAATTTGAATTTCAATCCGTTAGATTTTTCTGAGAATTAATATTTTTTTTTGAAAAATCAAACACTGTAATGATTGTTTGATATTTAATTTTATAAATTTTTATAATTTGGATAATCAATTGAATACATTCTGAAAACCCATAAATTAGTCGAATAAATAACAAAACAATTTATTAATGTATGCAGTACAAAAATACAAAATTGTCATTGTTGCAAACGTGCTTATATTGTGTCACAATTTCAATGAAATTTCTGTTATCCCTAAGGTTGAAAATTTTTAATAAACAATGATTCTACCATCCCCATCACTATCTCGATGTATTTTTTATATTCTTTATGTTTACTGTAAAACAATTAAAATTTTGATATATAATTTTTCGATTTTATTCAAAACAGAATTATAAAATCGCAATTATATGCTAACTGATAATAGTTTAATATGTTTAAAATGCTATAATCATAATCAAATTTGCTTGATTCAATAAAAATGCTAAAGATGAACTTGAAAGTATAATATTAAAATTTGATACAATCTGGTACATATAGAAATACCATATTTTATCGATTTTATTACATTGATGTTTTTCAATTTCATTCATTATTGTTTGCTAGTTGAAAACAAAAAAAAAAGGAAGTGGGGCTTCCAGGCACTTCGTGCCCTCTAGCCCCGAAGATGTTTAGTATAAAACCGCTTTTTAACTTCACTTAAAATGCCACGTAAGCTACGTAAGAATATACGTAAGAGGAAGAGAGCATTGAAACATCCAATAGTAAAACTGACACCACAACAACAGTTGCAACAACAAATGCTGAATGACCCCACTATGTTGCAACAAATGTCAAGCAATCCTATGCTTTTAAACCGAGTCATTGGTGCACAGAGTGGAGGTTTAAGAGCGGCACTTTTAGCGAAAATGGCAGGCTATGGTGGAGCTGCAGACGGAACAGCCTATAACCCTCAAAGTCAAATGAATTTGAGTTCACTCAAAAATCAAATAACAGATGTCAAAAAGTCAAACATAGACATACAGAGACAAATAAGTGAAAACGAAAAGAAACTAGAATATGACAGACACACAAAGAAACTCAATGAGTTAAACGTAGAGAAAAAGAAGAAAGAAGAACAACTGAAAGAACTAAGTACAGAGGAATATGCGAAAAAAGTGTCAGAAAAAGCAGCAGAAGTAGCAAAAATGGAACAAGATGTCATAAATTTGAAAAACCATACTACTCAATATAAAGTACTGAAAGATGAAGAGATAAAACAAAAAGCCCTGAAGACATATATGGATAGCGATGAGTATAAAAAAGAAGTTGAAGCAAATGTAAAGGCAGAAAAACTTTTACAGTTGCAAAACCAAACCGTACAGTATGAAAACTTAGCACAAGAAACTAAAAATAACGACGCAGCCATGCAAAAGGCAATGAAAAGCGCAGAATATATAAAAGCTAACAATGACTGGTTAGATGCCCAAGCCAACGCTAAAGCAGCCCAACTTATAGGGTCAATAAGGACAAAAATACAAGCGGATGAAGACAGTTCAAATGAAGCTTTAACAAATGCTGACTTTAAGAACGCCTTCGAAGCTCTTCATAGTAAGGTGAAACTAGTGAACGACTTCTCATCTGGAAAGAAACTGAAGTCTGAAGGTTTCGACAAAGAGTTAAAAGAAGTAGCACAAAATATGACGAAAATAACAGATGCAGCAACGAGACAGGCAGTTCAAAGTGCCTATGACGCCGTTAGAGCAACTGTTGTGGAAAGTCAAGAAAAAGAGTTACAACAGACCAAAACAGACCTAGTAAATGCTTTCTTAAGAACGAAAAGTCAGGTAGGACATTACGCTGCAGATGGAACATATGTGCCAGCTGGTGGAACTTATATACCAGCTGGTGGAACTTATATACTAGCTAGTGGAACTTATATACCACCAAACCCTCCAAGAGAAGCACCTGCACCAGGACTACCTAAAACATTTACATCGTCACATGGACACAGACACAGGCATGCACCAAAACCAACACAACAACCAACAGTTCAAAATCCAGCACCACAACAACAACCAAAACCAACAGTTCAAAATTCAGCACAGCAACCAACAGTTCAAAACCCTGCACAGCAACAACAACCAGCACAGCAACAACAACCAGCACAGCAACCAACAGTTCAAAACCCTGCACAACAACCAACAGTTCAAAACCCTGCACAACAACAACCACAAACAGAGCAAGGACATAAAAGAAGTAGAGAACAAGGAAACCAAGAATTCTTAAAAATGCTTAAAGAAGAGTATGGTTTCCCAGATACTCTTGACTTTAGTGACAGATATAAAGAAGCTATTAGAAAGTTCAAGGAAGGAAATACTGACCCGAACCTATTTAGCTTTATGACTCAGCACCATATCAGATATAATCTCAAACCTGGAAAATACAAGCT